TCCGTCCATCTGTCCGTCTCCGTCCATCTGTCCGTCTCCGTCCATCTGTCCGTCTCCGTCCATCTATATGTCGCTATCTCTCTGATGAATGATACTTATTATTGATTAAATTATGAAAAACTAATGTGAATTGCATGTAAGTACAAGTGCAAATCTTATATCACATTTTCGTTAGGCATTCTTGCTGTTCGAGGTCTTAAGATATGTTCTCAATTTCATAGTTATTTTCCAACGAATTGATTCTCATGACTTGCATGTTTCTGCGTAACGTTATTAAAATTTTAAACCTTTCAACCATGTCATGCTCTTTTTAAAAAATCTGAGTAATTGTTCAGTAATAATATTAAGACAAGGAAACGTTTCGGTATGCCGTACATTCCCACAAGTTTAGTAAGAATTTACAGATTAATTTACCAATAGTTTTCGTTCGTTTGAAGATTCTTCTCACACTTCCAGAATCTGTGACAGGGCTGACGTGTGATTTCATAGCTCAATCTTATAATAAAGTTATACTCTCCATAATGCTAAGGAGCTATCAGTTAAGCTATCAGTTTCATTAATTGAACATCTCGAATTGTCAGTACTTGATTGCAGATAATTAGTGAAACAATTTACGAAACAAAAAAACGCAAAATTAAAGAAATTCGTAAAATAATATCTCTTAATATATTTATAGAACGGTCTTATCGAATACTACGTAAATGTATATAAATGTCGTATAGCACACATAGCCTGCGGCGCAAAATCACCTGAGCGGCCCTACAGATTGCTCAATTAAGGCATCGGAGAATGCATTTATTATCAAAACACCAAACACTATTTAAAGTTATTATTAACACTTTCATAGTTTATCGTCGTAAACTTGAATTATTTTATAATCAAATAATAACCTTTATATTTTGTTCACAAAACTCAGCGTTTTATTTGCGGCAAAAAAAATGCGTGCAACCGGTACGATTCTGTAACGGGTTTTAAAAATTGACTTTTTGGTCAGACACATCCCATTTACTTTTGGAAACCTGTCCATTTAAGGGATTATCACACTGAAATTTTACTTAAATTTCGAAATTTATTATTGGTTTCTTTAACTTAAAATGTTCATCAAAATATATACTTATCTGAATTTTTTTGTTATTGTGCCCTGTAAACACTCACCCACACACACACACACACCTTGCGCAATAATGTTCACTGAAAACAATACATTGTTTTCACTTACATGTATGAGTCAGTAATTAGTTTCCTGAATTACCTCACCCTAGAACAAACATTACTTCACAATAGAAAAGGGGTTCAAGCACAAGTGGGGCAGAATGCTGCTCGCCCCTGACATGTGATCTTTTTGTACAGAACGATTCATCTGGTGGAACGTGTTCTCCACGCTGGCACCACTCACCCTGCAGTCATTCCGCGACCTGGCCTTCCGGTTTAGCCAGCGAGTGTTCGGGCTAACTCAGAAAACGGCGAGGTAGGTTCCATAAGGGAGAGCTACAAAACGGAAATACTCCCTATTTTTAAACTCTATAAAAATTTCGATAAAAATATGATTACGTGGTTGTAGGAAGTGTCGTTCACACTCCTTCCTTCATCACATAACACATTTATGTATAGGTTTAAACAATATGACATTTTCAAGTTAGATTTAAAAAACTTTGAAGACGATCAATTTTGAGGATAATAGACGATTGTTGATTTGAAGTGTACCATCCCCGCCTTTACCCTACACAAATGATATCAATAAAAATTTTATAAAAACTCTTATGTTATGAACATACCAAATATTCGATGCTTAAGGGAGTTCTATATGATTTTAGAGGTGTAGTTCACGCAATATCCCAAGTGACAAGAAAAAAATTGTTGAAACTCCTAAAAGTCATTCTGTGATTGATGGTATGTATAACATTTTAACCCTTTCATTACACCATCCACAAATTAAATAATTTTGATGTTTATTAAAAATTGTGCGCATAAAACAAGACACTTGTCTTCGAACTAAATGTTTTATCCATCTACAAGTGTCGTATTCTTTTACAGTTTCATAAGATTTGATCGGTCGTTACGTATGGTGGGAAAACCACTTCCTCAGTTCTCGAAGGCAAGAAATTCTGATTTGTTGTTTCTAAGTAAGATGAATTACAAATATGTTCGTCGGTAAGTGGGTTCGTTAGAGGAAAGGGAGAATATGACCGCAGTCCACATTTGACATGAGTGAAAGTGCAGAGAAAAGGCTCAAAGTTCATTTCCATTCTATTCCAAATCAATCGTGCAAGGAAGCTAGATGAGCACACTGCAAAAGTGTATTAAAATCACGAAACTAGTTTCTTGAGTTGATTTTCTTCTATTTTCAGATGGCAAGGCTGCACTGGCAATGTGAATTCCAACTTTGGAATGGCTGTCAGCTATCTGTACGTGCAGAAACATTTCAACAACCAATCCAAAGCCAAAGTAAGAAATTTTAATGTTTCACATTTAATTTAATAATTATACCGTCCCTAAAATTGTTTTGAATTTAATAATAATACTAACAATAATAATAAAATTTATTACTTCTTGAACAAATAGTCTGGTAATGGTTCAAAGAAAAATTAATAATTTTCTCTACAAGGGAGAAATTCCGTTGTAAAAAAGAGTCGTAGTTCAAAGCATTTGATAACTTCAAGATAGTGATTTTGTTTTTTGTACATTTATTACTCCTTTTGTGTTATTCGTTCCAGTAGTATAAAAACAAAGTTTGCAGATGCTGACGGGACAGCTTTTGTGTATTTATACCAGGTCATCGCCTTCCTTCTAGGAGAAAGCATTTAAAAACAGTAGGAAGCAGTGTCCCACACTTTGCTAAAAAATCAACAAATAACGTAAAAAATGTGAACAGAAGGGGATTGATTAATGATAATTTTCTAATGTTATCGATACGTTCGGATGCGTGCTTCTACAGTGACATTGTAATAGTATAATAGACCTATGCACAGAGCGTAGGGTAGCGTTGTAAATTGAATCGTTTCTTGGCACCACGTTGGCGGCATCCATGCCGGACTTGTGCCGTATTTCATTCTCATTTGCATGCTTTTTTTTCCTTTTTGCGCTAGAGGAATGTTCTTTACGAGAAATAAAATGAAAGAAGTAAAGCCTTGTATGGCGTTCGGATGTACAAATCGTATGACTCAAGACTGCACACTATCATGTCACAAGTACATAATTTGCATCTGAGACGCTTAAATGTAGCTTCACTATGTGCACGTTTTCTTGAGCTCTCCTTTTCTAGTTGTGCAGGGAGTAGAGCCGGGGGTATGGGTTATTATTTTGTTAACAATATAAAAAAATCAAATCTCCAGTTCGTTTATGAATGCAAATAGGTTTTCTACAACTCGGTAGCGAAAATATCTTGTTTTTAAATGTTGCTAATATCGCTTGTTGCAACTTTTACATTCAACTATTCATGGTCAAAAGATGGGAAAGAGATTCAGAAGTTCAAACTGGGTTAGCTTGTACTTCTCTCTCATATGTCACATACAGTTTCTCCCACATATGTTACATACAGGTCTTTGACAAAAAACCAAAATAAATTAAACTCAATTTGCCCAACATGGCTACCAGCGCAAACTGCAATTTGCAACGATTCATTGGTAAGTTCAATACCAGACGGTGGAAGAACATATTTGAACAAAGCTGGGCATGAAAGACAAAAAGTATGAAATAAATTTTCAACACATGAAACAATTTGTAAAACAGTTTACAGCGTCGGCGACGCCACATTTTACTAGTTTACATCCTCGACACTACCGCACATGCCAGGAGCTTAGGGTTTGTCCGGCTGGGGCGATGCCTCGTCGGAGGGAGATACCTGGTTAAGAGGGGAAATCGAAAGCCCACGTGTAGGTCGGCGCCGGATCTCACCATCCAGTGGGGGAAGGTCACCGACACATCCCACGATAAAACATACATTACACTTACGGGTCTAAAGGCCTTAGCCGTTGATAATCGATTGATGAGTTGAACGGAATGCGTTGCAGGCGCTGGAGATGGTGGGAGACATCCGCGACGCCTTCGTGGAGATGGTGGGGGAGCTGCAGTGGATGGACGAGGAGACGAAGGCGCTCACGCTGGACAAGGCGCACGCCATGCGGCCCTTCATCGGCTTCCCGGGCTGGCTGCTGCAGCCGGGCCAACTCGACAAGTTCTACCAAGGGGTGATTATCAAAGCAGGCGTCCCGCAAGGCTCCCTTCTATCTCCAACATTATTCAACGTATACATCTCAGACATTCCTTCAACAACAACTTCTAATATAGCTCTGTTCGCAGACGATACAGCTCAATTTGCCTCAGATTTCTCACTAAGTAACCTCCGATCACAAACTCAAAGCCATTTAAATAAAATTGAAAACTGTGCAAACATCTGGAAAATTCAACTTCATCCTGACAAAATAGCAAACATCTTCTCCTTTACCACCTCACCTCCGTTAGTAATGAACAATTCCCCCATCACCTCGACCCCACCGTCACAATCCATAAAATACTGAGGCCTACACCTGGACAGAAAACTAACCTGGAAACCCCGTATAGATATCAAAAGTAAACAAGAAATAAATTATTCCAACTCTGACCACTAATCAAAAAACCCAAACTCTATAACAGTATATAAAACTATAATTAGGTCACTAATTCTCTACGCTTGCCCATATGGACGAACGCAGCACCCACAAATGTCAATCATAACCAAGTACTTCAAAAGACAATTCAAGGCACAATTTAAAAATCTTCATTTTTGAGTTGTTACTATGAAACACAGTTGCATAAACGATACTTCAATTGGCAAAAGTGTGATTCTATGACTTCACATTATGGGTAGTAGTGGGTGATTGAGTGGGCACCGGTAACGGGCGGCTATACACATATGTCCGATCAAGATTCTAAAAGTGACACAACTAAAACGAAGGTCAGTTCTTAGGGATAATGATAGAAATAAATAAAACCCGTAATCCTAGTTTTATATCCGTGCTCATTAGTGCAGATTAATTTGTTTGTGTCAGTAATATTTCAATATTGCCACAAACGTTTTTCGTGATTTATGGAAAGCCTGACAAATTGAGTGGTTTCACTTTTGTAGCAAGTGTGCAAAATGTTTCTCGTAGTAAAAAGCCCTTAAGAGGGCTGTTTGTCACGGGAAGCGTGGGGCAAGAATTTTATTCATTTCCAACTCTTCGTCTTCTCCACTCCAGTCTGCCCGTCAAGGAACTGGCGGGTCCCTAAAACGGTTTGCCATTTTGAAGTTACAATATTCTTGATTCTTCTAATTACGGCAAATATAATGATCCATTATTAATTTTTATGAAAGACTAAGAAAATAACATTTCTTTGCAGGTCCAGGTGAAGGAGGGAAAGCTCTTCGAAACCTATTTGCTGCTCTCAGAGAGATCAATCAAGAAAACATTAGAGGATCTCCGACGATCTCCTGATTACAACAGGTTCTCATTAGTCTTCAATTTGTACTTAACAGAGGAAAAGCGACAGATTTTACTAATCCTATTTTTATAGTCATCAGAATAAATTATTTATAACTGTTTAAAATAATTGCTTGGCCTATTTTTCATACATGTGTGCTTTTTAAACCACAAATTAAATATTTTATAAGTTAGTGTTTTTGTACTAGTCATCCAGGTTTTATTGACAATTGAAGAGCTCCCGTGGGAAAGCATTTAAGTCCAATGAGAACGTAGGCGTCCGCGGCCGGAGTCAGTAACTGCTTGACTGGCCGGGAGACACCACGTCCTAGAAACTGATGCCAACGTTTTGGCGGCGGAAACGTTGGCACCTGTGCCTAGGACGCGGCGTCTCCTGGACATCCAAGCAGCCACTCAATTCCAAAATCGTAATTTTACAGGAGGAGCAAAAACGGTTTAGAAACCCTTGTTTGAAAAATGTATTATAAATATTATTACACGTCACTGAAAACAAATTAATTTTCAAGTACATTAACAAAGTTTGAAAACAATTAAATTATCCAAAAATACTGCGGTACAATTCCTGATACTTATCTAGAACGATATTACGACAGTTAACAAATTACTCGTAATATTAATCACATATTAATGATTTCGGTAATCAAAAAAGAATCACTCAAAACAAAAGCGTAATTAGGCACAACACGTACATGGACATACGTGCCTCGCTTTTCAAAGTTGCATGGACTCATGCAATCTTTCGGAAACTCTGCAAATTTCATGTAAGAACTTGGCTAAACTCTCAGGTAATTCAAAAGACTGGGAAGTTCAAGACAAGGCATTGCTTTATTTGGAACAAACCACGTTTTGAGCGACGTATTGTAGAGGCATCCACAGCCCCTAGATCTGTTCCGTAGGAAGCTGGTTGGAACCTGGAGTAGATTTTATATTCAATCGACTTATATCACTCTTAGCCGTGAATTATAAATAATAATAATAATAATAATAATAATAATAATAATAATAATAATGTCACATTTTTTCAGATGGGTAACACCTGCAACTGCAGTTAATGCCTTCTATTCTCCAGTCTTAAACTCCGTCAGTAAGTATTGCGCAATGCTTAATCAAGCTCATCTCGACACAAAACTCTAGAGTGAGACCACGTGAATTAGACGTGCCATTTTCGCACATTTTCTTGATCTCCAGAATTACTAATCCTGATTTTTTGTTACACGTAGTAGAAATATATACAAAAATAAAAAACATAAAATGTATAGTACTAGGAAATAATAATAATAACAACAACAACAATAATAATAATAATAATAACAATAATAATAACAATAATAATAACAATAATAATAACAATAATAATAATAATTACATATCCATGAGTTTTGGTTAACAATATTTGATAGTTTATGATTGAAATATTCGCTATCGTGTAATAACGTATATTTACATTCGCACACGAGCTATATGTTCTACGTATTTCGTAAGGAAATAAGAAAACCTCGCCCCCACTCTCGATTCTAAGAAAATTAGAATTCAAGAAGCGAAGATAGTATTTAGAACACTGGCAGTAAAGTAATTGAAATTTGTCATTGACTAGTTTTATGTTTTTTAAATTTATTCCTTTATTGTGTGGCAATGAAAAATATGCATTATTCTTTATTCAATAAAGATATTCAATACGGAACGTTGGTCTGAAGGTTATTTAAAAATAATTAGCATTTCCATTACTAATGCGTTGTTTTATCTAAAGCTGCAAAATTACATCCTTTTCAATCTCACCAAGAAATAATTCAGATATCTAGGCGTATCTAGTGTATAGTACATCGAAATGAGTGCGGGCCCACCCGCAAAACTTTTATCCGGGCCCCCTTAATAAAACAGTATAGCAAACACAAGTAGTGTTAGTACGTTAAGTAATAATAATATTTCCTAGAAATAGGCCCTCTTTTGCCTGGGCCCGCCCTCAGTGCGGACCTTGCGGGCCCGAACGTTACTCCACTGGTACAGGACACGTACACGAAGTATGTGGATAGTTTGAAAGCGTACCAACAACTGCATATATTGTAAGATGCCCGTTTTTCACATATAAAGTACTAAACCTAATCTTAGATCGAATGCTGAACTGAATAGGTACGAATTAGTATATGTATTTACATCTACGTTTCCATTGGAGTAAATATTTGGCTATTCTTACAATACGCTCATATGTCATTTTGTTTCATCAACAGCTTTCCCAGCCGGCATATTACAACCTCCCTTCTATGGACTAGGGTTGGAGTAAGTATACGTTTAATTTTTCATCGTGACATTATATAATACATTATCCTGACATTAACCAATTTAACATTTCAGAGCCCTGAACTACGGAGCCATCGGTGCCATAATGGGACACGAACTCACTCATGGATTTGACGATCAAGGTAACTAGGTGCAAAAATCATCTTTAATCGAATTTCTAAACCATAGCTGCACAAAGCATGATACAATGACATAGGTGTGCTGTTGTAGCCTATCCGGCTTCAGTCAATGAGATTCATGCACCAGTACAATAAAGACGGGAATTTTAAATTCAGCCAGATATAAAAGAACCATACCTTGTTACAAGTCTTATAAACAGATATATGAATCATTTATTTTAAAATATTGCATCTTTTATTTGAAATGCAACTTTATCATGTCATTTCTGGTTGTTCACTGTCGAAATTTGTCTCTTTATGTCTCTTTCAAACATGTTTCTGTCTTCTGGCACTGCTCGCTTCCCATGCAGCATGGCAACCAGCTACGTCTGCCTTGGCTTATTAAACGAAAGTGGTCGTGGTCACGTGGTTTGTGACGTATCTGGACAGAACGAGCAAAAGTCGGTGCGGCGAGGCAGCACACCCATGTCCTTGCACCATGGCCATAGAATTTGAATATAGTACTAGAGTACTAGATAGTACTAGAGCGCTGCCATCTTTGCAGCAAATCGAAGTCCTTTTTTTTAGTGAAAGCAGCGCCTTCTGGCCAATTATTGAATATAATAAATTTTGAATTGTATGAATTATAAATTTGACTTTTATGAAGTTTATATCTAAGTCTGTGGCAGAAATGAGGACTAATAAAGCACTTACTGGAAAAATGATAATTTTGTGGTTTAATTACTTCTATTTTTAGTTATATGCCGGAAATATTGAAGGCATTGTGAATATTATTATTCTAATCGCGAATGTAATTTAAATACAGTTATAATAGATATAATTCAACAATATAGAAATAAAATCGGCACGGCATCGGTGTATCGAGGATGCTGACTGCAAAGGTGGATCCAAGAGGTTCTTCAGAGAGTAGGCCCCATGTCATTTTGGACCGCCAATCCATCTCATAAATAATATTTTTTAATTCACATATTACGAAGTTTTTTTTTTTCTTGAAATACCATCTGCTAGTTAAAAATCAACTCCTTCGGGACGCGATTCGATCACTATTTGGTGAATACTATTGCCTTCCTGAATCCGTCACCTCCTGGATCACCATTTATTAATTTTCATCATCAAGCACATCTTTTGATCTTTCTTTCTTTCTTTCTTTCTTTCTTTCTTTCAGGACGCCGATATGACAAGTATGGCAATTTAAAACAGTGGTGGACAGAATCTACTTTACAAGAATATGAGAAACGTGTTCAGTGTATTGTTGAACAGTACAACAAATATGAAGTGCCACAAATTGGTGAAAATTTTACGGTACGTTGACAATATCTCAGAGGTCAGAAATGTATAGGATTTATTTTCGAAATCACGAAATTTGGGAAGATATTCAGAAAGAAATATATAGTTAGTTTAGTTCCCTCTGAATCACTCTCTTGAGACATGTAATCCATTTCAGTTTAATAAAAAGCTTGGACCACAGCTTAAAGTAAAACGTGTGTCTTTAGGTCAACGGTGTAAATACACAAGGAGAAAACATAGCTGACAATGGAGGTCTGCGTGAAGCACTCCGAGCGTACAGGAAATTCCGAACGAGGCAATCAGACCCGGAGCAGCTCTTACCTGGGCTGACGGAGTACTCTCCGGAGCAACTCTTTTTCCTTGGATTTGCTCACGTAAGTATGAACACAGTATGAGACTGATGCTACAATGGCGTATATTCATTTGCGCATAAACATGTACTGAAATATTACTACGTGGTATTTATATACCACTACATAAACATGTAGTGGTATATAAATTGCTGGTTTTCAACCAGCAATTTTTTCCCATGCCGAGGCTTGAACTCGGGTCCCTCGAATTAACTCATAGTCAGCCATATCACAACTCTTTTGTAGCGTGAGTTAATTTTCGTATAGCGTAATTTCTAAAATTGCAAAAATTATGTGTTGGAAATATTAGGTTGAGACAATTACATTTTAAGCGTCGGCCTGAGTTCGACGTTTAAAAATGTAATTGTCTCAATATTTCCAACACGCAATTTTTGCATTTTTCGAAAATACGGAGAGTTTGCCCAAAAGAGGACTACCATCATATTTTTCATCGTCCGTTGTAGCGTATGAGGAAAAAACTTAATGAAAACATTTGGTGCGATTTTGAAAAAATATTTTTCTTAGAAATTGCATAAATTTCAGATACAAATTAAGCGAAATCACCTCTTTTTTTAAAAAAAAGTTGTACATGACCTTTCCTAAAGAGCTGATATTTTGTTTGGGGCAAACATATTTTGTTTGGGGCAAAATCTTTTTCTTCTATTTTGTAGTTTTAAAATGTTAATTTTTGCAATTTTCGGAAAAACGGAAAATTTGCCGAAAAGGTTACTAGAACAATATTTCCTTCCCTTGATACATACGAAGAGAAACTTTACAGAAAAAATTAGAGCGGTTTTTGGGAAAAAAAGTTAATTTAAATTTTCTATATTTCGTCCAAAATTACATAACTATTCATATTTTTGAAAAAACATTACCATGAACTTATTTGAAGACCTATCTTTATTCATTATGGAACAGATTTCATTTACAAAAAAATATATATTTTCAGTATTATTCTTGTTGGAAGACACCCAAAACTATTGCAATTTTCAAAAAACCTGCGCTTTCAACGAACGAGACACCTGCACCATTCTCTTAAGCGCCCTTTACGCTACCCGAAGACAAAGTTTATTCCAAAAATTTGGTGTCATTTTTTAGAAATTTTCGAAAATGTTGAGACTCCGTGTCTCAATTGAAAAGCCTCAAAAATCAAAATATCCATTTGAAACTCCCCAAACTTACAGTTTGTTTAGATCGTTCGGGGGAATATCAGTTTAGGAGAAAATCGGCAGAACGGTCTAGACGCTAACGTTGACAACAGACGGACAGTAGAGGTTTTGCCGTCAATCGATTTTTCATTATCAAGAACCCATAAAACATTGATTCTAGCAACACCACGTGTTAGAGGAAGTTATTAACTATATATATATATATATATATATATATATATATATATATATATAGAGAGAGAGAGAGAGAGAGAGAGAGAGAGAAAGAGAGAGAGAGACAGACAGACAGACAGAAAGAGAGAGAAAGAGAGAAAGAAAGAGAGAAAGAGAGAGACACATACTCACAATCCCCCCCCCCAAAAAAAATATCGTCTCTGGATCCACCCTGGGTAAAGCGTCGGAAATGAGAAGCTGTAGGGCTTCAGGGGCAACGGGCCTTTAGAAGCGAGTAGCTCCATCTCCAACGGGTAAACTACACAATCCCACAGACCAGGCAAAGGGATCAGGCTCGCGAGGCGAAGAAGCACGCGAATGACCTTCAGATCGCGTTTGCTGCGGGGGGGGCGATGGCAAGACCCTGAATGAATAGGAGTGACAAAAAAAACTACTGAGCACTCTACTAGAAGGGTCAGAAAAAGAGTTTATGTTTCGCACACGTTTTAGCGTCAATTTACGTTTAAATAGAAAACGAACGAGCGCTACAACTCCTGTTAAATTGCGAGGGAGTGGGAGATTGCTTTTAAGTTTTCGTCAAGCTTTGAGAACGCCTACGCCGGAGTTTACTGTGCAATACCATAATGAGTTTAAACCAGGGTTGTCCAACTGGCGGTCTCCAGATATCGGCTGAATTTCACCTGCTTTATAGCAGAATCGAAAATTCACCACAGTTGGGATTTTCCGTTGAAATCTCTAAAAGTTTCGAAAATTGCTTTGAACTTTTCAGCGTCTTCCTACAAGTATAATATTAAAATTAGTTGTTTTTTTCTTAAATGAAATCTGCTCTTGAAAACAGGTCTTGCAATAAGGTCATTTGCAACTTTTCGAAAATACAATATTTTCGCGTAACTCTGCGTGAAATATAGACAATTTGTGCATAATTATTTTCTCAAAAATGATTCTACATTTTCTTCGTCGGATGTACAAAAGGACACTTAAAAATGGCGGTAGTTCCATCTTCCGCGAACTCTTAATACTTTACAAAATTGCAATAAAGTAACATTGCTAAAATACAGTATTCAAGATAGGGATTTTTGTCTTCAATGATATTGTTTTCCTCGCCTCTAACCGACAAGAAACTTTGCAAAACACATCACAAACACTTTTTTTTAAACTCTTTGTCAAGCACAAATAATTGATTTACCATTAACTACATGTTTCGTGAAACATATTGACTATCCCACAACCAAAGAAGGCTAATATGTGACCAGGGGGTTGTAATGCTCAGTTACAGACCCACATGTACAATGCCCATGTCATGAATTGTGTTCTCTCCCTTCTTGATTGTAGAGACTTCATCTGCGTTGACTTGGCGTAGAAACCAAAGTAGTACTACATTTTTTTCCCTTTGGAAAGTTACACATGGAATATTGTCCTGATTTATAACTCGGATGAATACGCTTTTTAAACATTAAGGGACACTATTTATTGTAAAATAATCAACCTGTTTACTCAGAATTAACGTCATTTTGTTCTTACAGATGTGGTGCGGAAATTCAACCCGAGGTGCAATGCGATCTCGAGTGGTGGAAGGTGTTCACAGCCCCAACAGGTTCAGAGTGATCGGCACACTCTCAAATTCTGAGGAATTTGCGAAGTCTTGGGGCTGCCGGAAAGGCAGTCAAATGAATCCTCAACACAAATGCATCTTGTGGTGATACGCCTTTCTGTGATATACTTATTCACCAGTGAAAAATACAGAACTTTGTATCTATACGATAAACATTTCAGGGGTGTGAATTTGCCATGGTCATTTTTTGAGGAAAATGACGTTCGATCATTTGATGTGTTCCGTAAATTATGTGAGTATAGAACTGTGATATTCAATAATGAGACACAAATTGCGAAAATGTGAAAGCAATAAACCAGAGTGCCTGAGTTGGTGCTTAAGTGTGACTTTGTATTTTTATGTGAAAAGATTGTAGATATTACATATTACACATTATTTTAATCGAAAGTTAAAATATTTATTTTATTGTTATTAACTTGTACCTTTCATTGTTGAAAAAATATTAAAAACATTCCAAATTCATTATGTTGAGTTTTATAATCAACCACCACACATATTCATTTCCTTACATCCCACAGTAGTGTTTCATCTGATCATGAATGCAAATTTATCACTAAAAATAGAGTCCATCAATTGTGTTTCAGAGGTTCCATACCATTTTCACTGCACTCACAATTAATAATCGTAATTTATTCATATATTTTTAATCCAGTAACTTTAACCCTGGCGATAAGCCAACGATAAGCCCAGTCGGCAAGGAGTTATCACATGGTACAATAAAGATATTCGATACATCAAATTAGTGGACCAACAGAATGGCACAGACTTTCTCGTATTAGTTTTCTAATGTCTTTGGTCTGGGCTGCTTTCCGGTCTTGCCATATCCTCTTGCCAGCTGCCATCTATCGGCCCAAAGTACTTTTCTTTTTGTTGAAAGTTTATCAATTTTTCGGTATCCTAACGGTAGACGTGAGTATTGACGACGTAAGAGACAAGTCAAAAAATTGTCTTAAAAAAGGGTCCAAAATTTTCTAAGAAAATTGCCATTTAGAACAAGGTATTACTGTTGTTTAATATTCTTAAAATATTTCCGTTTGAAAAAAATCGGAATTAGGAAGACGAAAAATTAGGAAAATTTCCAAAAAATGTACTTTGGTCGGCAATAAATGACAGCTGGCAAGAGTATGTGACAAGTCCGAATAGCTAGGCGAGACCAACGGAAATAGAAAATTAATACGAGAATGTCTGTGCCATTCTATAGCACCACTAGTTACGTTCAGATATACGCACGAATGTACGGAGTTAGTATAGAAAAAGTAATGCAATGCTGTAGAAAATGGATTTCGCGATTTCGGCGAAAGTATACATTTTAGGGTCCCCTGATACCGAAAAAGTGATTTCTTTCAAACGTCCGTCCCTCTGGGGGCCTGTCCGTCCGTCTGTGAACACTATTAGCTCCTGAAACATGCTTAGGATTTTTCCTAAATTGAAGAAACCCCGGTTTTTTCGGCGTCTTCAACTACAAAATCGAAGATAAAGATTTTTCCTTCAAATTAAATTTGTTGTCCATAGTCCCAGTTCTTTCATTAAAGTCTGTACATTTTTTGAAACTTTTAGTAGTTTTCGCGCAATATTGCATGCAATATTTGCAATTTTTCAGTAATATTTCCGTTCTACTATTACGAAACTGAAAAATTAAGAAAATGTCAAAAAAATGTCCTTTGTGCAGCGATTGCTGGCAAGAGTATGTGACAAGTCCGAAAAGCTAGCCAAAACCAAAGGAAATTGAAAACTTATGCGGGAAATTTAGTGCCTTTCTGTAGCACCATTAGTTTTTCTTAATTTAGCAACTGGATTTATCCACTTTTTCGGGCCCGGCAATGAATTTTTTTCTGAGAAAAATCCGCTGTTTATTTGCGCAGCGTTATATAACTTTCTCTTCACTACGTATATTACTCCGTATATACGTACGTACACAAGGAAGTAAATGTTTCGAGATGCGAATTTTGGACAATAAGGTCGGCTACAGAATGTTGGGACTACAGAATGCCGGTTGTGCGGACGAACAGCAGTTCACTTCGACCGTCATATAATAGGTCAAACGCAGGAAGTCATTGTTAGCGGTGCGTGCAGCCTGTCAGGCTACAAAATAGTCTTATCGTTGAAGATAGATATTTGTGTTCTTTGTAAGTGAAAAGGAATTGTTCAAAATGGAAGGTGCTCCAGGAGGTATTTACAAAATAAGAAACGTATATAATTATTAAATCATTAATAATACTTTTTTTAAACTAACTTAGGTTCAGAAAATGTACGAGAAAATTATAAAATGTGCTTAAAAAAGAGTGGATAGTTACGAATCCCACGACATTTCGCTTTGTATTTCACTACATTCGCAAGTATATATTATTACCTTTGTAAATTAACCTTGAAATCCACGTACTACTAGTACTTACTCCGGTTTTGAGTCACGTCTTTAATCACACTTGCAAAATATTGCTGTTGAGACATCTTCAAAAATGACTATAAAATTAATTAATTACTAGCTACATTTGTACAATTTAAAATATAATAAATGCCTAAACGCCCTTTGCAAAGAATGTAAAAGGTAGAAAAGGGATGGAAACAAAGTTTGTCCTTCATAGTGTGATGAATAACTTGGAAAACGGGTAGTGGTCGCTGTGTCGCGATTACCATTATCCAATCTTCAAGAAATGATTGCATTCCTGTTTCATATAACTGAATATCTTTGTTATATTTTACGCCAAATGAACTGCCAGAGGGGGGTACTGCCAATTGAGGTACGCCAAAGATACCTCAGGTATAACATGCCAATCGCAGTCCATAGTTTGTAAATACACGGACTAGGCATTTCGTCGGCCATTTTACTCGTAGGTCAACTGTTGGAGGATGCTTAAGATCAACCAATAAAGCAATATTGCCTAAGTTTTAATCCAAAGTTTTTCAGAGTTAGTACTATTAAAAATGTGTTCAGGAGATTGTTGGAAAACATAGACCACTACCTTTTTCCCTGTGCTCATCACTAAAAGAAACTGAAGAGTTTGGCGCCAGAAGCAGTTGTCCTCCTTCTTCCTGTGGAGGAAGATTATGAATATTCTGACGCAGGTGATGACAAAACAGTCTTTGAAGATGGTAACGATTCAGTTGAAGAAGCAGAAGAAGATGATGATAATGAAAAAGAAGAAGAAAACAACTTCTAATTATGGATTCAAACAATTTACTACAGACGTAATTGCAATTAAATTAAAATATTTTTTGTAACATTTTACACCATCTTCTATCTTCTAATTATTTCTTTTTTCGAGCTTTCCAATTTTTATATTATATTTTTAACCATTAACAACAACCCCTAAATATTGACTTCTATATGAAAAAAGGTTTATCAATTTTATACGGCATTTTGGTTCCACTATTTTGTTTTTAAAATGTTTGAACTCATAAACGTCATAAGAAATCCCGGTAATTATTTTTTAAAAATTTTACGGAAAAAATGTCTTTTTTTAATATTTGACCGCTATCTTGGATCCGCCATTTTGTTTTTTTCACTTTTTGATATATTCTGTATCACGAACTTTGATAACACAAGAAACGAAAAAAAACATTTTTTCTGCTGCCTGCAGTTTTAGAGCTGATTACAGTTATTTTTGGCCGCAGATTCCAAACACGCTAACTGCTTGGCAGCATCTAGTCTAGTTCTGAAGATGCAGTGAAAAGAACGATTTTCGTCACTTGCGGAATCAAAGTTCATTTTGAATGAATACGTGTACTCCATTTCATTGTAATCTGACAAATTTAAATTCCCCGCGCTTTTTAGTAATGCGCATTGTGTCTATCACATATTTTTTACAATCCCGTGTACAGAAAGTTATGTAATGCTGCGGATAATCGATTTCGAGATTTCAACGAAAATACACATTTGGGGGTCCCCTATTCAAAACGACCGCGTGTCGGTCCGTCCGTCCGTCCCTCCGTCCGTCTGTCCCTCCGTCTGTCCGTCCGTCCGTCCGTCCGTCCGTCCCCCCGCCCGTCCCTCCGTCCGTCCGTCCGTCCCCCCGCCCGTCGTCCTCCGCCCGTCCCGTCCCTCCGCCCGTCCGTCCCTCCGCCCGTCCGCCTCCGCCTCCGCCTCTCGTCCCTCCGACCCTCCCTCCCTCCGTCCCTCCCTCCCTCTCTCCTCCTCCCTCCGTCCCTCCCTCCCCCCTCCGTCCGCCCTCCCTCCCTCCTGTCCGTCCCCTCCTCCCTCCGTCCCTCCCTCCTCCTCCCGTCCGTCCGTCCCCCGTCCCTCCGTCCGTCCCTCCCTCCCGTCCGTCCCTCCGCCCTTCGTCCCCCCTCCCTCCGTCCTCGCCTCCTCCCTCCGCCGTCCCTCCCTCCCCCTCCTCCCCTTCCGCTCCCTCCCTCCCTCCGTCCCTCCCTCCCTCCGTCCCTCCTCCCTCCGTCCCTCCTTCTCTCCCTCCGTCCGTCCTCCCCCCGTCCGTCCTCCCTCCCTCCGTCCGCCCTCCCTCCTCCGTCCGCCCTCCCTCCCTCCGTCCGTCCCTCCCTCCCTCCGTCCTCCCCCTCCCTCTCTCCCTCCTCCGTCCCTCCCTCCCTCCGTCCGTTCCCTCCCTCCCTCCGTCCGTCCCTCCCTCCCCCGTCCGTCCCTCCCTCCTCCGTCCGTCCGTCCCTCCCTCCCTCCGTCCGTCCCTCCCTCCGCCCGTCCCTCCCTCCGCCCGTGCCTCCCTCCGCCGTCCTCCCTCCCTCCCTCCTCCCTCCCTCCGTCCGTCCCTCCGCCCGTCCCTCGTCCGTCCCTACGTCCGTCCCTCCGCCGTCCCTACGTCCGTCCCTACGTCCGTCCCTACGTCCGTCCCTCCGCCCGTCTCTCCGCCGTCTCTCCGCCGTCTCTCCGTCTCTCTCGCCCGTCTCTCCGCCGTCTCTCCGTCCGTCTCTTCCGTCCGTCTCTCCGTCCGTCTGCCGCCGTCTTCGCCGTCTCTCCGCCCGTCTCTCCGTCCGTCTCTCCGTCCGTCTCTCCGTCCGTCTCTCCGTCCGTCTTCTCCTCCGTCTCGCCGCCGTCTCTCGCCCGTCTCTCCGCCCGTCTCTCTCCGTCTCCGTGTCTCTCCGTCCGCCTCGTCTCGTCCCGTCTCTCGTCCGTCTCGTCCGTTTCCTCCGTCTCTCTCCCTCCGTCCGTTCTCCGTCCGTCTCTCCGTCCGTCTCTCCGCCTCTCTCCGTCCGTCTCTCTCCGTCTCCGTCCGTTCTCCGTCCGTCTCTCCGTCCGTCTCTCCGCTCCGTCTCTCCGTCCGTCTCTCCGTCCTTCTCTCCGTCCGTCTCTCCGTCCGTCTCTCCGTCCGTCTCTCCGTCCGTCTCTCCGTCCGTCTGGTGTACGTGAACAACACTAATGCCTAAATTTTGCCATGCATTTTCTAAATGGAAGAAAGCCCTGACGATTAGACCTGAGTCGAAGCTCTGCGATTTAGGAAAACATTCATTAATTTTTGGAGGTACTTCACACTAGCCCCTGGGACATTTTCAATTTTTTCCCAAAAATGGCTCCAAATGTTTTCTCTAAATTTCTTGTAATAATGAAGTAAAATACACTTATAAAAATGGTATGAGTCCGATTTTTACGTCAAACTCTGGATTTTCGAAAATTTCAATAGAATTTTTTTTTCGGTGTCTTCCTACAACTACAAAATGAATGATGGAAATTTTTTGTTCAAATGAAATTTGTTGACCATAATTCGTTTTTGTAAACGGCTGCAATTTTTTTATTCAAACTTTTAGAAACGATAGTTCAAATTGCACCCTTTAATGTGACGTAATTTTTTTGCTTCTTTTGTTGTTGTTTTTTACAAATGTAATTTTTTTAAATATCTCTCACGCCATTAATATGCACGTTTCCAGCAATTCGTAAACACAATTGTATTTAAGTGTTTCCAATCACTCTTACTGAAAGTTTTCGAAAACTCAAAAATGTTCTGTGAAAGAAGTGTTTCAAATTTAGAATTTACAATAACGCTTAAACGCCAGTTTCTTAATAACGGCTCCATATTTTTCAAAGAAAATCCCCATTTAAAACGACGTTTTACTGTACTTTAATATTCATGAAATAATATTTCCTTTCTACTATTAGGAAATCAAAAAATTAAGAATAGTTCAAAAAAATGTACTTTATGCGGCGATAGATGGCAGCTGGCAAGAGTATTTTCCAAGTCCGAATAGCTAGCCGAGACCAAAGGAAATAGAACACTAATATGGGAAAGTCTGTGCCATTCAGTAGCTCCGCTAGTTATTATTATATTGCTCATTATGAACGGGTTTCATACAATTCTTCCATACAAGATTTTTCTTGTTCATTTCCGTTTAAAGAGAAAATACAAGTAAGCAATTAAAAATCTGTTTAGCACTTATTTTACTACATATTTTACTAAATATTATAACCTCACTCAGTTTTTCGCACTGTTCGGTATTTTCCTGTGGCAATGAATGCCTATATGTCACATAACAAATAAAGGCGTACAAATGTGTCCGAGAAAACGAGCTCACTGACCTGACGTCTCGAGCGAGAATTTTTTCAAGCGTGTGGGGGTCGATATGTGTCCTTTGTTTCGATTTTCCACAAGTCTTATCGCACTTTTCTCGCCACGCATTCCTCCGTACAGTTTGTTGCGGGTCTAATAGAGATGAGTGTACAAAAAGAACGATGCATTTACCTGATAAGTATTGATTTTTGGACCGTCTATATGTTCCGCTTCGGGTGTTTCTAAAACGCTCTTCTAAAAACTATTTTCTTTCGGACTTGATGCATAAAAAAACATTTTTTTTTTTCGATCAGAATGCCTTTTCGGACGTTTTGCGACTATCTTCAGCGTATGAGTCGTAGTATCGTGGTGGTTCATGATGCAAGGATTGTGCATCATTGCACCTCTTATTATCCCCCATTCCTTTTCCCAACGTTAATTAAATTAAGAAAATAAAAGATGCTAACGAGCTTTCTTGGCAAAATCTGATGACCAGAAATTTTCGCTCCAATGAAATAGAAACTATTTTGCATAGAAAAACAAGCTACAGATTTGATACAAGTCCTGTGGTTGAACTAATCAAACCCTTTTCGCTTCTAGCAAAATGAGGGCTCAACAAAACGTGCGCGGATAATATCAAAGATCCTAGGATCTAGGTTAACTTACTTAGCATGGTGGATTTGATATTTCCAGCGTGCTTAGAAGACGAGTTTTTGAGGGTAGTTGATATAACATGAAAGCGAACATCGCCTACGCCACACTTATTGATATTGTTTTACTTAGCTCACAATAGAATTATGCCCAGACACTCAGAGAACTGTGATTGTGAATGTCAACATTAAACCCTGTAATACAATTTAATGAAACCGAACTTACCCTTTAATCGTTTTAAGGTATGATAATAGATATTCATCCATGGTAGGATATCCCTCTCGTGTTTCGAAGGTGGTTGACGGAAGAGCGTTTAACCACATGTTACATGGACACTGTCTTAAAAGCGTATTAATTCGAAATATTTGCACTGTCACCTTGACAATTACATACTATTACAAAAAGTTAATTTCTGTTATTCTTGCACTCCAAATCGTCACTACTGTTCTCTTATAAAAGATGTACAATTCTCATAAAAATCTATTTATCATATTAATCTACCTTTTAATTATAGCCAGCAAGAAAAGTCACATTATCTCCAGAAGGAACCTGAAAAATACCATCCACTTCGACTCCCGCACAGGCACCAGTTCAACACACGCTCTTATCACAAGTTACATCACGGCGAGTTCTACTTCGACTGCGAACTATGAAGTGCAACACGTAGAGTGTTTTACGACGGAAATTACAGTAATTGTCAAACTTTGAATATATGCGGCAAATTTCACATTAAATAGAACTCCTGCCGAGCAATTTGAACTGTTTAGGTGCCAAGATCAAAATTACGCACGTAGGCACTGACACTACTGTATAATTATTTTTATTTTATCATTGCAATGATTTGTAATGTGTGAAAATCACGAGCGAGGTTTTGTATCAAAAATCCTACATTTAAATACCAACCTTATTACATCACATTCAAATCACTCATAAAATTACGAATTCATTCATTCATTATTAAGTTTTGCTTGAAAAATTATCCCTTAATAATGGGTAGGGCTGGGAAAAATACTTTAAGTTTAGTATTTAAATACTTCGCCCAAATGCTTTGTAAATAAGCATTTAAATGTATACTCCAAATACATTAGTTTTGAATTGCTACATACATACGCATTCAAAACACTTAAAATACAGTAAATACAACAATTTCTTATTATCACTTTTTATTGCAACAATATATTGTAATGGTCAATCACAATATATTACTAATTGACAGTCATAAATTTCATAAACTAGTGTTTTAAGTAGGGGAGAGGAATTTTATGCTCTAAAATGCCTTGAAATATGCTCTTTAAAATATATATTTAGGACCTAAAAATTCTCAAACATCCACTTTCATGTGTCATTAAAATTAACAATATTTTATTTTTTGCATTAACCTTTCTTGATAAAATTCAGGAGAAGAGGCTCGAAATGAAAAGAGAGTTTTTTGTGGAAACAGAATATAATCTACCTTACTTCATGAGAGAAATAATTAAAGTAAATATTCACCTTAGTGAAGTACATTGTGCGTCTTGTTTCATTTCTTCTGCCTGCTAAACAAAATCAAAAAAATTCATAATTTGCACAGTATTTTATTGTCTACAGAAAAGAAAAACCGCTAACTGTGACAAGCTCTTTGTCACAGTTAATGAATGCTTACATATAAGTAGATTGTACGAAAAGTTGAATTGTTTTAGAGACAAGTCTCTATTATAACAAAATATGCTCCTATAATTACACGAATATGCATGAACAGGAAAAATCAACCAAATGTAAGAAAATTTCACTTAGGTATGCCCTGAAGGAACTATGCAAAATCATAAAAATCTGCTCCCTAGTTATATGGAATAAACAGTTTTTTTGTTGATAATTGTCTAGCATTTTTAATGATATAGATTTATCATTTAAAAATGAAGATAATTCAAGTTTAACAGCTGAAAGGAGCTTTTATTTTTGTATCAATAAGGGTCATTTACTAGTAGAATAAAACAAAAAGAAATTATTCTCGTTATCTTCATCTGCATTTAAAGTACTTTAAGTATTTCTTTTTTTTAATAGACCTATTTTATGTATTTAAATACATCTCTGAAAAAAATGTTCAAAAATAGTTTTTCAAATACAAAAGTACCGCATCTATCTAACATAAGTCAAGTTTTTTCCCTGAAAAATCTCACTCGAAAAATGCAAGGTGGTCTTATATTCACAGATTAATAATAGTAATAATAATAATAATAATAATAATAATAATAATAATAATAATATTTTATTAAGTCACAGATACAATTACAATCGTGTATGATGAGACAATATGATGTCTTGAGTGGAGAGAGTGATGTTACATTACTGTTGAGAAGAAAAGCAAGGGGCCATCTCAGCATTTGCTCAAAGGACCGGGGAAACTAGACAAAAAAAAAACTGATCAAGATGGGGGGTCATTGGCCTAGAAATTAAACAACAATAGTAGATAAAGATAGATTAAGATATTATACACTACATAATTATTTTTAATAGCAAAATAATTTAATATTTTAAGATTCTCTTTCATGTTTAAAGTAAAATTTATTAATATTGTCATTTTACAGCAACTATTTATAATAATAATAATAATAATAATAATAATAATAATAATAATAATACATGACATCAATTATAACAATTACAAATAATTTAACAATATTAGTACATCCTATGTTTAAACCTTCTAATAGAGAACAGTTGGAGGCAGGTTTAGACCAATTTGTTTCTTATTTCTACACCTAATCCTAGTGCAGCACCTGAAATCAAATTTCACATATTACTTTCTGAGGTATTCCTGAACATTATAAAAAAGTTTTTGCCCAAGGAAGTGTTTAATTTTATTTTTGAAGTTGGGTAATCCTGTTACGTTTCTCAGATGTATTGGTAATTTGTTGACGATTTGTAGAGAAGGTACCCTATTGGTATCATGTCCGTGTGCACAATGTTTGATAAAGGTTATATGCTTGCCTTGTGTTGTAAGAATGTAAGCTTCAGTTAAATTTGTAAGGGGTGTCATTGTTTATTATACTTTTCTTTACTAACATGAGAACTTGGTAAATGAATATACAAGGCAGTGGAAGTATATGAAGTTTTTTGAATTGAGATCTACAGGACTCTGTTCGTTTTGTATTTGTTATTGCCCAGATGATTCTCTTTTGTATTTTAAATGTTTGTTTAGCCTGTGGTGCTTGGCCCCAGATTATTATTCCATATATGAAAATAGAGTACACCATTGCGAAGTACACTGTTCGGATTGTTTCAATGGTGCTGTTACTTCACATTATTCTAAGAACATAATTCAGTTTGCTCAATTTTGAATCCACAGTTTCTATGTGCAAGTTCCATTTGAGGTTGGATTGATTGGTGATTCCAAGAAATTTTTTTTTCCATGCTTGTGTGATACTGTTGCCTTCTCATGTTAAATTTGGTGAGTATTGTTGTGTTGAGTGGGAGTAGTGGAAGGGCATTGTGATTGTTTTGTCTCTGTTTAGGATTAGTTTGTTTTGATGGATCCATTGAATTAGATTGGCAATGGCTGAATTACCTTTGTCTTGTAAAGCATTGGTTGTTTTTTCCTTGAATATTATATTAGTGTCGTCAGCAAAAAATACAGGATCTTTTTGTTTTCCTTTATGGATGACAGGTTATTTACAATGTAAGAAATAAAATGGAATCTTTTGACTTAAGGTTGTACATGGCATAACATGACTTAGTAAGCTTGTTGTTTAGATCTGTGATGTGGTAGTTCCATTTTAGATCATCCTGAATACTCAGTCCAAGGAAAGGATTTTTTGGGGCTATTTTTACAGGCATATTTTTATCATGAAATGTGTTGAAAGCTTTTCTTTAGTGTGTGTATTCTGAAAGTTTTACTGGTGTTTAGGATGAGCTTATTTTCCTGGAATCATTTGTAGTTTGTTTGATATTTGCTTCAATAATAAAGTTTGCGTCATCTGCAAATACGACAGTTTTGCTCCTTTGTATGTCATTGATATCATGCATGTCATTGATGTATAAGAGAAATAGTATAGGTCCTAGGATTGATCCTTGTGGCACTCCAATCAATTATTTGCGTTTGTTGCTTTGTAAACCTCCTCCCAGATTTCTGAGTCCTGAGAATTTCCGAAAGTTAAATTTGTGTGAGTTTTCTTGAAAGAAGTTTCGGGTTTCTCTATGAAGTGTTTCCTTAATAACTTTTGTGCCCATTCAAGTTTGAGGATTTGCGTTGTATGGTCAATAAAGCATGTGTTGTAAGTAACAACTGAATAGCTGTAATCATTTGTGTCTATTCAGTTGCTACACACAACAAAAATATAAAAAAGGTGGCCAGGGTTTAAGTTTTTACATTCCCATTCCATGTCACGAAACTCATAAATGTTGATGTACCAATAAACTGCAAAGATGGTACAAATATTGCATGTATCTACTTTATTCCGTAATTATATTCTCATTTGTATTCTTGGCATCCACCACAAATTTACAATTCAGATAGATATTTTTTAATGGGCCTGTTAAGAGAGAATCTCAAAACAAATGGCATTGAATCAAATGAAACGTAACTTGAAAATGAATGCTAGATTTTGTTGTACAATGCAAATTTGACAAGGCCATGTGGATGCGGTTTGACTGCAAATCTGCTTTAGAACAGTTAAACAGAGGCCATCAACATGTAAGAAACAGATAGAAAATCTGGCAACATAGAAGGGAACGTTCTTAGGTAGTGTCTGATGAAACACAAACAACGCAACATTAGTCCGAAAACTTTCAGAGGGGCCTAAAAAGACAGATGTCGCAGTATTGAAGGAGGACCAGAAAGAAACACTGATGCATGTGAAGATGATGAGGGTAGTGACAAAACCAGTGATTATGATTTTAAGGAACACAGAAAATGTGAGTAATAAGTCTTAACATTCTCATCAATAAGGCAATTTTGTAGTCAAATTTGTAATTTTATTTTGACTAAATGGCAAGAATTAGTTAAAAATATAAAAATTTCTAGGAGGCCTCTTCAAAACAAGGGGGGTTGTCTTATATTTGGGTAAATATGGTATTTAAATATTGCCCAACCCTGATAGGACTGCTAAAATAGTGTTTTATATGTGTAAAATAGTGTATATTATTCAGCAGTGTTACCCTGTTTACATTTGAAATTACTAATAATAGAGGAGACTGAGTATGTGGAACATATATGGAAAAGAAACATCTATTTGGGTCAAAGCACGCACGGAACTTATATTATAGAGCATACATTATTGAACATTCATAAGGATTGAATTTTTTATAAGTGTTAATAGTAGTTACAAGAGTGCAGGGAAAAGGGGAGAAGTTGGTTAAACAAATAAAAAGCTAAATTTTGCAAAAATAATTATGTTAATGGTCCCTTTCCAAGAATGAAATAGTATGCCACACAAGCTTGTGATTTAACTTTCTTTTACTTTTATGCTCTTAATGTCTGTACCAATTAAATATTTCTACACCAATTATACACTAAAATCATAAAAATGATATCCACAGACATCTAGATTTACCATAAATTTCATCTATTTCATTATTGCAATTAACTTTTATTAAAACATACCTTGTTCTATTTTGTGTATTTTAGTCACAGCATATCAGGACCTATACAATTATTATTGCTCTAAATTATTTGACCACACCTTTGTCAAAAAACACTAGTTGCAGATGTACCCGCAAAGGGGTTCATCCTAGGCTTGTAAAGGGTATTTTGAAGGGAAACTTAGAAAAAGGTAATCTTATAACTGCTGTCTGAGTTTACAATGAAATGCTGGTACTCTATAAACACGCTCATAGATGAACACTTCATTTGTACTCAGTATGTGAAGGATTAAAAGTTTTGTTTCTGTCATTTAATTTGAGTACTTAAATTTAAAAGAAATTTTCCTATAAATTAAGATTGTTTATTAATTCAGCCAGATAGTATTTAAATCTATCATGTAGAAAAAGTTGTGCTTGGGGTACATTGATTGTGTAGAAAGAATACAATCTCAAAACGTATGAGAATCTGTTTTACAGTATCATCAATTTTATTAACTGAATATACATACTACTAGTTCTAAAAATTAGTTGCATGAAAAGGGTGTTTCAGATAAGATTTTGAAAAGGTAATTTGATTTGCAAAAAGGAAAATATATTTCATCATACCCACCAGGGGGTTATGTGGGAAAATTATTCCCACAAACAAAATACTAATATTTGCTGTCAAAATAATTGTAGACTGATATTGTTCAAGAAATATTGAGTATAACACAAGTATAACTAACTGCAATTATAATTCTCTTCATTTAATTACTGAAATGAGACTAGAGGATAGGTTAGAACTCTAGAAAAATAATATTTGTACTCATTCTAATTCAATAATGAACTGCTTTTCAATTTGTTGAGAGTACTTCTTTTATCAATAATTTACAAATATAATTACATTATTACAATATCTGTACAGAACAGAATCCCATGTACTAATGGGAAAAAACAATACAATAATTTCATTAATGCTTCTGCAAAAATCAATTCTTGTCTCTCAATTAAAACATACATCAAATTTTAAATATTTAAAAACAACCTCATGAAAGACCATTCAAACCACTTTTCCCTACCTTTGTCTCAGCACATCACAACACAAGTTATGATTAATTCAATTTCCATGCAAATTTTCCATTGGTGCTTCTTTGAACAAACAATTTCATCAGGCTTTGTGATCAAATCACCTTGCTGCTTCTGAAATAGTCCAAGAATCAGCCAGTAAGCTTTTCCTTTTCTTATCTTTATTTTTTGAGGGTTTTGGAGAAATGATTGCTCCACTTTCTGTTTTTTGCTTTTTCATTGGAGTATTACTTTCTGAAACCGAAAAGCCAGAAGCTGCACTTGTTCTTTTTGATTTTTTCTTCTTCTTTTGCTTCTTCTGGTGCTCTCCTTCTATTTCTTCTTCCACTATTACAAATCCTCTCTTCACTGGAAGCGCAGGACGACTACATTTCTCTTCAGGGGAATAATCAACTTCATTTTCCTCTTCAACTTCTGATTCTTCCTCCTTTTTGATATTTGGATAACCAAATGTAGCAATAGTAAGGCATGTAATTCGACAACCAGTTTTTACATGGCCTAATTCTTGCAATACTTTTCCCTAAAAACAGAGGTTGAAATATGAATCTGATAATAATGAATGATCATGATACTTTTTTAATTATCACAAAAAGTCATCAGAAAGTTTACCTTGTATTCCCATAAAATGATTTGTCCATTGCTTGAAGCAGTCACCACACACACATGATTGTCAGATACCACACTTTTTATACTCTTGATTCGTTGGTCATGGATCTTCCTCTCAAACAAAGAACTCTTCTTGATTATGTCATGTAAATATATTTTACCGCTCTCACAGCCAACACATAATTCATTGTCCTAAAAAATTACATTTTTTAGAAAAAGATACACTGCACAAAAATTTGATCACATCATGAGAGTTAATACTTAACACACATTTAAGAAGCAGAAACTGGACACTTTCATTTCTGTTGTAACTGAATAAATAATGGCAGCTGTTTCAACAGAATACACATCAACTTTTGTTCCTATACCAAGAACATAAAATGATCCTGTCGGACTCCAACAAACACCATTAATTTGCCAACCTGCCCCACATTTTGAACTGAAACAAGAAACAATAAAATAAGATACAAAATACATTTATAAATTCAGTTAAATGATCTTTTCACAGAGCCTAACAGCTTTTGTCATGTGAACCTGAGTTGCTTTAATAATTAATAATATTTGTTTATTGCAAAATTTCCTCTACAAATTCACAAACATTTACAAATATAATCAAAAAAAGGACAAATATTACAATATATGCTAAATTTATGATGACATAAAATTAATACATGTTTACAGATATTACATATCATTAATGCTTACATTTTTAGTGGAAATAAACAAACCAAATGCATTTGCTACATTGCATTCTATAAACAAAAATAATTATATTATACTTCTTTTAAAAAAATGTTTACAAGAAGATGCTTAATAAATCTAATGATATACCTTCCCAATCGTGTTGCATAAGCCGGACGACCTTTAACAAGATTCCAAGTCCGTAGTGTGGCATCAGCTCCAACGGACAGAGCTAATTTGCCAGTGGGATGAACACTAATACCAATTACTGCTGTAAAAATTAAAAGGAAGGGAAATAAAAACAAGAAGCTCAACGGCTAGAAACATAAAAATTATGTTTATTAAAATTACAAATGCTGCTTTGAGTCTTACTTTAACACACAATTTTTTTACTGATTTTACTTTAATAATTCTGTACATGTTTGTAATCGAAATTGTATTCCCCATAGAGTCAACTCCTGTTATAGTGAACTTCTGGGAACTATCATTCACCATATCTGATGATGTCAATTAAATAGAATTTCTCCACAATGATTTTATTAATACAGAGATTCAGCAAAGTATATTAATAACACAAACTGAAAAGTTCAATATCTTTATTTGTCCTTAAAAAAATCAATTATTTGCAATTGTTTGCTTCACACATTTTTATTAGTTATTTCTCTAGATCCTTTTACAGAGTTCACGATCTCTCTCAGTACTTGATTCTGCATTGTCCACTGACTAAGTATTGTATGTAATGCAGTTTTGACATCCTTCAATCTTCTTTTCCACTGTTGGAACACCATCCCACTCTCCAGAGCCCTTTTACTCACTTAATATCATACGAGATCCTTTCGTTAGCGGGATGGCGCAAGGAGCTAATGAAACTGATTTACTTTTCAGTGTGTCGCAGGGAGTGTCACCAGGCTGTGGGGCTGTGGCAGACGTGCGCTTCCTGTTGCCTTGGTAGAACACAATGCGGTTTGTCCCGTGGAATATGAAATAACACCAAGCTTGAAACTGAAGCAAGCAATTGTGCATCACTACCACCAACTGTAGCCCACGCACGAGACAGCCTTTGTTTCTGAAGTGAAATTGGGTGGCATAAGGTCATCAATATGATCCCCATTTTAGGTTCCCTACTTCGACTCAGGAGACTACTTCAATTTTGACCTTTGGCAGTCATTATTTTTTCCAAGCTGCCTGGAATTAGTGGCACTAGGGCTATTATTTTCCAGAAGGGAATTAATTTCCAGTATGTTGTATTTACTATGTTCACTATAGCCAAGATTAAGGTTACTATAACTGACTCTTCTTATGCTTATTTGTAACGTTAGTGAAACAGGATCAGTGACTTTAGTTCACTATAACCCAGGTTTTATTTAATCCAAGCTCACTATTCATGGAGTCACTGTTTATTATTACTAAACTCATGATGTCGTTATGATTCACACAATGCTTCTGATCTGTTCTGTTGCTGTGTAGAGGTATTCTTCACTATTCTTCAAATAAAGAAAAGCAAATAGGTAGCTTTATAGGTGAACAAAATCTTTGAAACTTCTCCAGTTTTTGGAGATTCCTCAGAATAACAGCATGAATCAACATGATTGGACCTGATCTCATGAGTAATAATAATACAAGTTACTTAAAAATCAATCACATAATTCTTAATCATTTCAGTGGTTTATTGAATAGTTTGATAGAATTTCACGAATGAAGTGATATCCATCTTATGGTTCTCTGTTAAAGAATATCCTTTTTGGAAAAATTATGCATATAAGTAATTAGTACTGTTCACTGATAAGGCTTTAAAATAAGCAAAGGGGGAAAATAAATAAAAATCGCTTTTGACCAACTTTCAGGACTATAATCATAATTTTCTCCAACTAATAATTGGTTACTGAATTTCGGTTTTCATAAAAAAGTGCTAAATTTGTGCAAAAAAGCAATCCTTTCAGTAACTCAATATAAAAATAACTACATAATATACAAAATATCTTGCAACTCTGATTTGAACTTGAATCACAGACACTTTCAAACTAAAAATTTGAAGACCAGTTTTTTCTTATAACTAAACAATCACTCATTAGTTATTATTAGAGCCCAGAAGATTGGCAAAATACTTTTTTGTTATTGTTACTATTTCATGAGTTTTGAGAACAGGAATCAGTTATTTGTACTTTGGGCGTTGTTTTAGTAGATTTTTATTTTGCCTATTTAAGTTTCTGATGCCTATTTTTGAAATTTGGTCTAACTTTTGCCCTCTCCTGCCTTTTACGACAATATATTTGCAAGCCTACACAACACGAAGCATTTTCGTGGTTGTATTTTGCCTTACTGTGGAAGAAGATGCTGTGATGAACTTCTTTGCACTTCTTATTAGCTAGAATAAATGCTTTTTCATGCCTATTTTATTAAAAATAAATGCCTTTTTGTCTTCCTATTTTGGGTAAAATAAATCTGAACATTCGGGCTCCAAATATTATATTTTCAAAGAATTATTTCACTTCACAGTAAAAATTCAGGTATTTTTATTGAGCCAGAGGAAATTATGACTAATGTATCAAAAATTCAAACACTGATGTGAAATAAATTGATGAACTACACAAACTAATTAGTCATTAAATTTAATATTTAACCCAATTTATTTAATTTTAATTTAACCCACAATTTATCTTACCTGATCCTTTGTGTGCAGAGCCCCAAAACTTCTCCATTTCAAAATCACTTGCTCTGAGAATAGCTATCTTACCATCATCCCCTCCAGTAAGTAAATGGGAACCATTTGGTGTAAACTCTACACAGTTTACAGTTCCTAAATTTAAAAAAAAAAACTTATTACGCATATGATTCAATAGTGTATATACATTTAAGAAACATTTTAATTGAAGTCTCTCCAAAACAAGATTGTTTTCTTTGCCAACTTTAAATTCTAGATTATTTAGTTCCATTACTTAAATTGCAATGCAAAATTTGAAATTGATGCCACTGATGAACAACCAAAACATTAGCAAGTATATCTTACATTTGTCATAATTAGAGGAGGCACTAGAAAAATGAAAAGAAAAAGTTCCAAGAAAAAGTCATCAGAATCACCAAGAAAAGTGTCACCCTAAACTTGAGACAGAAATCCCCTCTCCAGATAAAAGACATTACAAGAATTGGTAATTAAAAACATAACCCCACAACAATAGCCCTCAAACTAACTCTTCTTAGAATGACTATTAAAAACAATCAAAAATAGAACTTTCACATTACAGACCTCAATTTCAAAATCATCATATACATTCTCCACACAAGCTCTAATTCAGATACACAACGATTCGCGTACTTAGCAAATATTAATTCACATCTAAAATTCGAAACTTTATTCTGGGGAAACTCTCCAAAAAATATTCACACTTTCATAATCCAACAATGAATATTGAGAACAATAACAAATGCTCACAACTATGGTACCTACAAACCACTGTTCCAACTAGTGGTGCTACAACAGCCCATTCTTTTTTGCATTATATGTATCACATTACACACATAAACAAGCATAATTTCACATACAAATTGAACATCCACAATCAATTTTCATGTACACTAGTGGCTCATAAGAATGTATGCTACATATTTCCCTTTGTACACCCCTAATGTTTGGAAAACATGCTGGAACAATATTTTTCCTCGAGTCTAAAATTAGCTTTAATTTTGGACAGGGTTTCACTTTTTTTTTCATTGAGACTGGAGTTTTAATTTATATTAACTCATTAGAATGAATATTTCTGTTTTACTTTGTAGGGCCCTGATTTTTGGAAAATATAGACTGAAACATTTTTTTTCCTGTAGATCAAAAATAACCTTTAATTCTGATAAGGCTTCATATTTTTTTTTTTTTATGCTAATGCGTTTTTGTGTATATTAGCCCACAAGAACATATATTCATATATTGCATGTTTCTCTTGCTTCAGCTGTTATTTTTGGAAAATATTGGCTGGAATAATATTTTTCCTAGCGCTTATAATTAGCCTTTAATTTAGTGTAAGTTTTTATGTCTTTTTTTTTTAAAAAAAAAAAAAGGGTTTTAGGTTTTTTAAGTTTCATGTTTATAAGATCAGAAGAATGCATGTTTCCTGTTGCACTTTCTTTTCCAGATGTGAAGAAATCTTTTTACAAATTTTTAATAGATTAGAGCAGCGCAATCAAACTGCATCGCGACCATATGATAGGGGTCGTAACAGTGATTTAATAAAAATGATCGTTAGATTTTATTAACTTTAATACTTGGGTCAGTTATGTACACAAAATAATTTTATACTATTATAGTATGTTATTTGTAATATACATGATTTAATTTATTAACTAATTGCAGATTAATTTAACCTCAAAAGTCCTTTACCACTTAGCTTCCGTGGCTCCTTTAGCATCGACGTACCTTCCTAGAATGAATCGCAGCTGGAGATATTTAATCTTTCTACCCATGCAGATCAAGAGTTCCTCTGGTCAACCTGTGTTTGGTTGAGATTGAAATTGAACAAAAGAATTGCGAGTAGCAGTTTAAAATATTGAACCCAAATTTGAACAATTGTTGTTGAAGAAGCAAGCTCGCCCTTCCCATTAATTTTTAAAAGAACATTGTCATAAAATTAAAAGTTGAATATATTTTAATACCAAATTAAAATGGAGAAATAAAATGCCATATTATATCACTTACTCATTTGTGTTGTATCTTTAGTAGGCCTATGTTAACCCCTATAATTGAAATGTACTGTTACCATGGGATTGGGAGTTTCACGGGAATTTCAGTTAGGTTAAGAGAGCCTTGGACGAAAATAGTTTGAAAACCCCTGGATTAGAGGATAAAAAACAAACTTTGTCTAAATTCATTTATTCTAAATTGGAAGAACTACTAGAGTTTACTTTAATGCAGCACTAGCAATCTCCACACAAATACTTTATGGCATTAAAGTAACTTACATTTGCATTTTTGTCTTTCATCATAACCCAGAATTTAACAAAGGGTACAGAATCTAACGCCTTTCTCATATCTACAAATACCATGTGTGTCTCCCAGCAAAATTGATTCTTTTTTCAAGCATTTGTATACAACAAAATATATTGCCTCACACAAGACCTCCCAGCAAAAAAGCCATTTTGTTTCTCCTTCTCTGATCCTCCCAGTATCTGGCCATGCAACCTCTCAATTAAACTGGTAACACTAATGTCCCTGAACTTTCCACATTCATTCTTATTGCCTTTCTTATGGATGGATAAAATATATGCCATTTTCCATTATTCCATTAAGCTAGTCAGTTATTGCCTTTTATCCTTGCAGCTAGGAGATCAGCATCTTTAGATCCCCGGGATTCCTACATTGTCACTCAGTCAGAAACCCACAGTATTAAATGTCATACACTTCCGCGGCCAATCATGATCTGGGTTTACCGGGTGCTGCCTTGTCGAACGCTTAGGTCCAAACATTTCAATCATTATATCATGGTCCTCCTTCAGGGCTGAAGTGCAACACCACAATTCAGATTGGCAACTGTTACAAGTATCTCGTATTTTTGGAAATCGAGTTACAATTAACTTTTTTTGATTTGACATTGGATAACATTAACTCTCGTTAATTCAACATTGGATCTTTATTTGAACAAAAGAATATTCTCCTTTAAACTCCTATCCTAGGAAAAATGTTCAAAAAAAATTCCAATGCTATGAAATAACAGTGACAATCAAGTAATTTGAATTTTTGAAGTGATTCAAGTTGGTTATATTCAGGTTGCTTGTATAACATTTTTTCAGTTCTCATGTAGGAAGAAAGTCTGAAGATTTCACTAAACCAGGATGGAAGTGTCATCCATTGCTTTTGTTCATAGAAATGTGCCCATGTCCCTTTTTCCTGCTCTGTCTCCTCCCTCAAAAAGAAATTCTTAAGCCCCTGGGTCAGGAGAGAGCTTCCTCCACTTCCTCTCATTGCCCAATTAGACGATGACATAATATATTTCTTGGTTCAACAACGCATTTTAGTGTCATTAGCAATATTTCAACAGAAATTCACGTTTCAGTGTTCCCCAATTACAAAAACATGTTTTTCTCAAAATGCATGAGTGACTCAAGTTTTCATAGGCTACTTTCTGAAATGAATATTCCCTGATTGATCTGACTCAATCTGGAGTCCTGCCATTTTGAAATACATTTTTTCAATTTGGTACTTCAATAAAATCTTTAGGAAGTTTTCAAGATTTTCTCAACAATTTTTTCTCCAATTTATTCCCATAAACTTAGTGGAATACACTTACACAGATTGCATTGATTCAATTATTCCTGTTAACTCTAAATTTTCAAAAATCGATCTCATAACTACATTATTGAAGATAAAGACTTTTCCTGAAATGAAATTTGGGTTAAAATTTAGTACACGGTTCACCCTTAGAGAAGCGTGGCGGTGGAGCTTAAGCACTAATTACTGGACGTGCTCTAAAGAAATTAATAAAACTTACGGATAGGCGATTTTCATTGCCCTTCATAGGCTTTGTCCCCGCCGCATTGTCACGCCAATTTACTTTCAAAGGCAAGTTTTCTTGCTTCGCTCGCACGGATCCATGTCACGGCAAGGCTCGGGCCTTCGGGCCCTCACATTCACTATAAACATTCTTGAGTCTATCTAACGCATAATTACCAATTCCCTTTTATAAGTCATCACTTTTCGCCTCCAGAATTCTAACTGCCTAGTTAACGCCAGAACGGCGCGATGTGCTGCTTTAAACGACTTCCTTAGGTTGTACCGTATACTACATTTCAGCCGAAATTTGTTTTTATCAATTCTTTAATTTAATTAATGAATATTTTTTGAAAATGTTAGTCGTTTTTGCCCAATTTTTAGTGTAATATGGTAATATTAAAAATAAGACTTTCTTAAAAACTGAACTAATTTTTTTACGCTACATAAACGCCACTCTGATTTATTATTTTGATTCTTCAAAAATTACACGAATGCAATATTTTTTAAAAACTCTCATGTTGTTAACATCCACATTATGGGTATTATTTAAACATTACTGCATTAATGAGTACAATTGCTTCAAATAATTTTTTAAACAGTTTCTCAAAAGTAAAAGAATAAAAAATTCTGTGAAAATAGTTCAATAGTGTGCATTTTCTCAAAGACAATTTTTTTAGTAGAAATTTGCATACAGAACAAGGTTTTAATCTTCTATAATATTCTGAACGGAACCATTCAAATCTACTATTAAGGGTCTGAAAAATCAATAAAATGTAAAAAAAGTATTTTGGGTGCTCATAGATGGCAGCATGGAAAAAGACTCGGCAAAACCGAAAAGATAATCCTGATTCAAGAGTTCAGGTAAAAAATTATACATGATACTTCCTAGTTCCAAAGTTTGAATCATCTAAAAATGCATTTCAATTTAAATATAAAGCTTGTATTAATTTAGTGAATTTTCATGCATATTACACATTTGCATTTAGCAAAGCATTGTTATCCACTACCAATTTCTTTAAAAAAAATTCAATATTTATTAATATTTTGGCAAAAATCATGTTTTGATAAAGCCTTTACGATTACTTTAAAGCATTAGCTTCCCAAGGTGTGATCCTGGGTTCAATTCCTCGTCAAGGCAAAAACAAGTTACAGTTTTCTTTCAAAGTCATCTCGGTTTCTGTAGCTGTGTGTCTAAGAGAAGCTCAGGCACACAGTTTTCTTGTTAAGGTGAAAGGAATATGTAATGTTCACCACACGACTCATCCCTCAAGCATGAGAATGTAACTAGGCACTGGCAAGGGGGACACAGCTAGCCAGCACAGTCAAACAATAAACCCAAAAGTCCACAAACACACATACATGTTTTGATATCTTTCCTAATTCTGCAATACAAATATACTATTATGAAATTAAATTAAATTTATACCATTATGATGCATCAAGACGCCTATGTCTCTTCTATACAACATGTCATAGAAATGTATGGAATCGTCTGCGCCTCCTGATGCCACCATTTTCCCATGGGAAGTCACACATCGGATACTGGCTTTGTGACCGTGGCTTGCAAAAGTTTGTGTCAAACTATATTTCTGAAAAACACTCTCTAATTAATAGATTTCTTCGAAAGAAATTCAAGCAAAATACTTAACATTACGTTCACAACTGTCAACTTACCTGATCAACATGCTTCGGCCGATAACCTAACAGAAATTCTTCATATGTTCCAACTATTATTTCGAGATTATCCAGAAACATTGTGGCACTGTTTCTTCGGAAACGATCACATACAACTATTGAAAGTTTTAAAAACAAATAGATTATTATGAAATTACTTTCTTAACATAACCTAAAACAGGAATACAAACACCATGCTGTCGTATGGTTCAGGAAATCGCAGCTCACGTGAACATCTGTCCATGGAAGAAAATAATAATGCATCCACAAGCAAACATATACTCCAAAGAGTATGAAGCGGTTCCAAGTTCGATATACGATTCAAAAATCTTTGGGGTGAATAAAAGTTGTATAAATAAATCCCAATTATTTGGGAAACTCCACTGATCTCTCCTTTCAGAAAACAGAGATAAAATGACACATATCTTAAATAATTGTATATAACTGATATAACGCATTCCGCATGTCAACCTTCAATTGTAATTAGAAGAAAAATGAAGGCGTTAAGGCGTCATTAAGCAGAGAGTATATATTAAGTCATTAAGTTTGTTAAATTCAAAAAGCGCGAAAAATCGAATGTATTATATCGACAAAAGTTCATTGAATCCTGCCTTTCCTAAGTGACTATTCATGGATTAAGGACACTTCGAAGTAATAACGTTAGAAAGTATAGAATTTAATTTAACAAAAAATTTTAATTGATATTTTTCCTAAAAAATTATATAGTGCAAGTTTGCGTGAACTCTGGTTCTCTACTCGAAATTAATCGAAACCAATCGGTATTTATTGTATAGGCCAAATGTAAATACAATGCTGTAAGAAATTATACTTGCACATGCTAAAAATTATCTCAGATGAATAAAATTAGACTATTCCAAACAAGGGAATTAAAAATTAAATAAATGTAACTTAATTCTTTCTAATTCAGTGTTTAAATATTCACTAAAATTATGGTCATGGATAAAATAACTTATTCTCAAACAAAAATAACTTAAAACTAGAGATTAATAAAAAAGAAAACTCGGAATAGTTCAAATTGTCAAGTTGCCAAATTCTGACTAGATTTGCCTACCCAAAAATGTGATGATAGCCAAGAAAAATTGAAAATTCAATTTTATGACTTATCTCGAACTTATCTATTGTTGTTTTTTTCCACAGCTAGAACTTGCACATAGACCACTAAGCAGTTACTCAAAAAAATGTAATTAATGAAAAAGAAAGGTATCATTTAAAATCAATCAAAGCTTTTTAATATTAGGTTTATTGACCCCTTAAAGAAAAATAAATGTACTAACATTAAGTAGATTCCCATTGGCTGCTTTCTATCATTTTTAAAATAGTAAAGAGATAATCTTGTAGAGCTTTGTGAAAAGTAAATTTGAACTGCTAATTAATTTTGTGTAATTGAATTTGAATTTTGTAATTGAATTTTTTGTTACACCTACATGGAAGTATAAAATTAGTAAACTGCCCAGTACACTTGCAAATTCATTCCTACAAAAAATGTTTGCGACAAACATCCTACCAACAATCCTATTAGATAATGTCTCTTTACAATAGAAAAATTAAAGCAATGTGGTGTTCGTGTCTAATGCCTAGTAAATACTATAACACATGGGTAAGAAATATTTTCACATTTTATTCTTTCCTAATAATGTTTTTAAAAACAAGTATTATATTTTTCTACATTAAAATACTAAACTATTTAATGAAAACAAAAAAGAAAATATTTTCATTACAGCTCTCATAAACTTCTTATTTATTAACATACAATATACAAAACAATACTTTATTTCTTCTTGCCACTTCTACATCTGCAACCCTTCCATTAAAAATATACGCTTCTTGCCTAACAGAGGGAAGACTCATCACAATCGTGAAGAAACATACTCTGGCTGAAATACAAAATACATGTTAATTTTCTGAACTGAATGCGAATACATGAATATCAATAGGTCATACATAACATTATTACCGTAACAAACCACCAAGAATCTGGGCGGAAAATCGCTCGTGAAATAAATGAAAGCCGATTTGCTGGAGATATAACGTGCAAATGTAAATGAGAAATAGAATTGAAAGGTGGCCAGTGGAAACCAAATCTATAAAACAAAAAGGATTAATTACAACATTTACACACTAACAAGAATTAAGAAAAACACAAGGATCCTTACATTGCATCAGATAAATTTCCACCACGTTCTTGCAATACTTGTTTGCCAATTCGTACCAGATCAGACACTGAATAGAAAAGTAACATTACACAAATCTCAAAATTAAAATAACTGCAAAAAATATAATGGTCTAAATGCAAGCAAAACCATACCAATGACTTGATCTTCAGCACTTTTAAGATGCTTTGCATTAGGAATGTGTTGCTTGGTTATAACAAGATAGTGATGCTCTGCTGCAGGTTTTATATCAGGAAAAACCATGTACAAATCATCCTGTAATTACAAGGAAAGAAATAAAATATATCCAAAGGATGAATATGAAATAAAATATATCATTGTTATTTACTCATGAAAAGTCGAAAGTATTTGAAAAATTGCAACCTGATATAATGAGTTGGTTGGTTCCTTTCCGTCGTAAATGCGACAAAATATGCACTTTTCCCTTTCTTGGGTCATGGCGATCTGATTTGCAAGATTGACCTCACCACCTCCCTTAAAACAAAAAGTCATCAGTATACGCAATTGAATCTTCCATATTGCACGCTCATCAGCTATCGGTAATATCTTTCTACCTTGTATATAAAAGCAATCGACAAGATGATGCATGCCACGCCTAAGACAGTTAGAAATCTGCCTATCATAACCTCAATAGTTTAAATTTCGATACGGACCTTTCTACTCCACCTCACGGCGCCAGTTTGTTCATAAGTGTGAAAGTTGCTGTTGAAATGAATGGAGCAGCATGCACACAGACTTTGATTATGACATAACAAATATGCAGTCCACTCGCAGTTTTACCAGTGCTTGTCACATAACCGCACAATACTGCCGCAATCAACACAGCTGATGACAGATATTCGGAGGCGGGGAGGAATGTCCTATAAAAAGTACATATATTTATCCTCTGGAACATAAACTGTAGTTTTGTCGTGCACTGACGTTAACAACACAACCAGCTCAGGGTAATTCAACCATCTCTTAAAAAATCAAGAATTTTGTCCCCTTAGAATACCTTATCATTCCTCATGAAAATAAATTGACTTACGCGAGAACATAAAAACCACAGAATTTTCAAGCTCAAAATTCACTCCTTATCCATTGTCGTAACGAGTCGACTCCGACGTCGTGAAGTCGGAGTTAATGGAAATCATATTTCCAGCACGGTGTAAGAAATTACATACTGATTACCACTGATTACAGAGCACCCAAGGAGTTAGTAGTAGTCATAGTTTATGATCCTGATTACCACCATGGGTAAACCAAGAACGCTCTAAGGGAACTATCCCTTTAGCCCTCTTGGGATGGGGTAAACTAAGATCATTGTATAATGGGGTAAACGTACGTAGTAAGCATTGTGAAAATATATTTCCACCATAGAAGTAAGCTGGTAATAAGCACAGTGGCGCACCCAAGGAACAATTATGGGGAGTTGGGGAGTCTTTATCTCCTCAAAACGCCTATGACGAAATAATACATTGTCATTATACAATTTAAACATACTAATAAATACTATAGATTTTACTTATTTTCTATACTAACGAAAATCATTCAATAACACAGGCCTGCGATGAAAAAATACAAAGAAATTGATAGTTGAACGTTATGAACTGTTTGGTGCTGAATTAATATATACCAGCAGCTTCTTCGAGAGGTCCGAAAAATATGGTAAATATTCATAAAAATCAAATTAAAATTGAATATTTCAAGACGGAGCTGCTGGTATTGTTGGGCTCCAGAAAGAAAGAAAAAAATATTGGCCATAGGAACTTCATTGACACGGGAATCGAGAAAAGAAATTTGTTAAGTACTTTGAGGAAGAGGAGAATCTGTTCTATTGTTCTGATTTTCCAGGATTGAAGAGCAAATTTAATATCACCTACGATAAAGATGAAAGGAGGCTATTTAAAGATTCATCGAAAAAGAGTTAAAGCTGCCATGCTTCATCACGGAAGCCAAAAGACATAACACGTGTCATGGGCGACACAACACATGGGGACGCTATTTAGCGTTCGACATTTACGAAATTGAATGAATTAGTTTTCAATTATGGAATTAAAATAGCACAATAGCACAGAATATCCTTTACCGAGTGAACCAAAACTTACTTTGATGTAAAGAATGTACCATAGACGCGAAGAGTAGTTCCATTGTCTTGTATGTAACTATAACATGAATACAATTTAAAGTTTACGGTGGCGAAAAGACACTTTCCCTTTTCGGTGATACCATTGATTAACACTTGTATTTATCCATGGCGATACTGCCGACCGTTCTGTCTCGCCTTCCCCGGCATCCGTGGCCTCGTTCGCCGAGGCCAAATCCCCGCGCGACCGGCACATTTATAAAATGGTCGCACAGTAGTGTATGCGGGCATCTGATAAAGCCCGCTGGGTCGAGTCGGACCGATGCACGCTGGTCTTAAATTTCGAAAACCTGCTCAAAATCCTAAAACTAAAATTTAATATTTTGGCTTCGATACAGAGAAATCGTGTAAAGGGGTGTACCATTTAGTCAAAGATAGAACCTTGTCACATCTGTGCTGATTTCACAGTACAATGGGGAAGTTAGACGAAGGTATCAATTTGTATGTATTGTTCCGACAACGCGTGAAGTTTTCACAATGTTTGAACTCTTTATAACTTGTAGGTAGAGGTAATTTTCTTTTAACAGAAAATGTTCCAATGTAAATACTAATGTGTCATTTTTCCAATTGTATTAATATTTTATTCTTAATAATAATAATAATAATAATAATAATAATAATAATAATAATAATAATAATAATAATAATAAAATTGAAATGGTGTAAAACACTTTTATTTAAAAAATGTTCAAATGTACATAGTAATACATTTTTTGCAAGCGATCGCTTATGCTCTATGAACGCTTATATCCATTAAAACCTCCTTGAATAGAAAGTTACTATAGAAGCTGCCTTTAGATGTCTCAATCGTACGGCGCGCCATGGCAACTTTGTCTGCATATGTTTTCTATTCATCAAAGAAGAATGAAATCTGTCGAAATGCCTTACAAATCTGTAAAGGTCCAAAAGAATGTATTCTGTTATAGTTTAAAGGTTACAATTTCTACAATAGAACAATAAGCTAAAATTTTCATTAATTCTCGTTCTATAAATCGCCTCCATAAAGTACTTCGTCATACTTACATGCTTTGTGTTAAAATATTAACAGTTATTACAATTATTATTTGTTTTTGTTAAATATATTTGTTTTCTACCCTAGAGATGGGTAATCCTTTAACTTCTTAGACTTAACCATCTGTAGGGTAGGCATCAAACACATTTTAAGTGTTAGATTGGTTAAACCATTAATTTCTTAGTCTTACCCATCTTTAGGGTAGGCAACAACGCTTTTTTTTATTCTGCGATCGGCTCTAGTCTAGTGGAAGGTAATTGAACGCGGCTCATCGCGGACAGCCTGACTTCCATTCTTGTATTTGGGCAGCACTGGAAGAAATTCAAGATGCGTGGAAGAAGAATTTCGTAAAAGCACTGGGTATATTGGTTTCAGTCACAAAGCCACAATTCATAGTTTGTTCGTTTTTATTCGATGTTATTGATTGCGAACATATTTGGTAAATATTTATAGAGTAAAGAATGTAGCACTTGGCTGGACCAGTAATATCAATTCATATTCTTTAATGAGTTCACACAACAAAATGGAGTTTCCTAACCACTTATTTTCCTATCCACTTATTTCTTATGTCGAACAAAAAGAGCTTATTCCCTTCTAGAAAAGTCTCTAGGTAAGCCCGTGCTTATTATGGAGATCGGTTTGTGTACGATAATGTGCTGCGCTGTTACTAGGAAAAAGAGATATGACAATTTTTAGAAATGTAACAGCTTGGAAAGAAAATTTTAAAACAAAGAATTGTTATTTTTTAATACGAATGCGACGTTAAAAACATTTCTTTGAAAAGAGCCAGTAGCGTATGAATGTTTAATATAACTTCACAAAATTCACATTTCACACAATTCACAACATTCAGTGCATACTATTGAACAAGAATCAGCTTCTTACAAGTATGCAGATGCCTGCTTGTAATTCATTGACAAATATCTGATTGTAACTATTTATCACTTTTTTAAAAGAAAAGTGTACATTCTTGAATTTCATATCAACTATTGAGGTGTGGTGCAAAAGAAAAAAAACTTATTTCGAAATGAGCAGAAACAAGATTGGGATGTACCTTTCTTCTATCGTCTATACATCCTATTCATGTAATTTATTCACTACTCAATAATGTCCCAGTATCGGAGCAAGAATTAGAAATGCGTTGGCTCGATTTACTGTCTAAAACAAAATTCTCCTCATTTTAAAGACTACAAAAGTGAGCGACTCGCCACCCCACCCCCCAAAAAATTTTTTTACTGTACAAATCATCTCAAGCCATATTTAAAAAACTTTCAAAAATATGATTTGAGATGATTTGTACAGTACAAATTGTATGAGTGTTCGAAAATATCAAGTTGCATTGCTTGTTGCTTTACTTTTCCAGTTTTTTGATAAGATCTTGAAGAAGTTCTTGTAAATCAACATTTCCTATATTTCTAATATTATGGGCTCTTTTTATTATGTCTTTGTCTTTAAGAGTAAATTCAGTAGAACTACTGGTAGATTTAGTAGTCCATTTGCACTCTTTATTCATTTTAAATATTATTTTGCCTGCAAATATATATGCTTTTAAACTTAGATCCTCCGTAAATTTGTCAACAATTAGTCTTACAAGTTTCATAAAACAGTTGTAAAAAAGCAATCTTACTACTCTCCTGACAAATGATAAATTTATAGGATTTTCATTCCGGCTCAATTTTCGCAAATATGCAAAAACTTTCTCAGCGTGATGCAACATTTCTATTCTAGATATATTGACATACACTTGAGTGTCTTCATTTGTAGTGACCGTGTCGTTTACTGCCAGTGCATTTAGGAGATTCAAAAGTACTATAGTGAGAAAAAATACAAACATCATAAACACAACATGAGATAAAAATGGCGTTTCCGCTTCCTTCAACAACTCGACGGCTTCAAATTCTCCAGTAAGCATGACGAATCCTCGAAAAAACCAATACCCTAAATTATAAAACGATCCTTTGTTCGAGTCATGGAAGAGTGCAGAAAAGCACAAAATAAAAGCTATTATTAAGGGCGAAAACCAAACAAAAAACTTCAAGTAATTCCATGTAACTGTTTTCAACATTTTTACATACGCGGCAAGTTTTGGATGATCTCCTATCAATAAGACGAATTCAGCACCAGTGAGAAGTATGGCAACATTTGCAATTGCAATGTCCCAGTATCCTTCGCATATTTCTAAAAAAAGCACAATGGACAAAATTACTATCACCGCTTTCAGTAAGCATCGCATCGCCGAATGAAGGGAATCCCATGATACACTGTAATAAAATGCATTTAAAACAGCAATAATAATAAGACAAACCCACAAAGAGATATTTAACACTGTTAAAAGAATGTCTTTATAATTTCGGCTATCCACATTATCGACCACCATTGAAGCATTTTCGATTGCATTATTCACCATTGAAGAATTGTCTAGTGAGTGATATTTGCCAAGAGAAACGCGAATCCCTAGAAGAAGAGCATACGTTAAAAACAAAGTGAAGAAATATAAATAAAATGATCTGATAGCCTTCCATTTCATGTGTATAAAGCATGCTACGACAGGGTGTGTTAAGACACACCGACGCTCTTTACTCTTGCTTAATATAACCAACGATTGACAATCGTACCGCTCTATTTCATTGTCATCAGAATATCTCAGAAATCCCACGTCGAAAGTTATCGTTTTAGGGGATTCCAAAGGCTCAGACAGTTCTATTCGCCTGTTGAGGAATTGATGTAGCTCCTCGGGGGTCATGATATCCAAAGGAGTGTTTCCGCTTTTGTTTCGCTCGCCTAAGAGAGCCCCTGCGTCAACCAATTTATCAATGAAATAAGGATCGCGAAAATGGTGCATAACAAGAAGGTGCAGGGGCGTACATTCGTTATTATCCCGAGCATTTAGTAACTCTTTATGAGCCAAAAGTATATCGAAGCACTGCTTGAAGTCCTCCGGTATCTCAGACCCCGCAGAGCTGTTCTCCTTGAGACCGATGTCCGCCCCCTTGATGACATAGTGCATCGCCGACAGATGGTTGTCCCGCGCGAGAATAGCGTTCCGGGCGATGAGAAGGCTCAGGATCTCCGGGGAACCCCGGTACGCGGCATCCTCGCTCGCCGTCAACTCCGAAGGCTGCGTCAGGTTGGGGTCGGCGCCCAGTTCCAGCAGCTTCTCCACGGCCGGCGTTAGCTTGTACTTCACTGCCACCTGCGGAGCGCACACGCCGAGCCATGAGACATGGGGAAATGTCTTATCAACGGGTCCTGGAACTAATTTTTTTAAAAATATTTTGTCGGCGGCTACAACTACAACATTAAGGGTAGAAATGACTTACTTCATGTAGCTAATAGGTTTTTCAGATAACGATTGATATAATATCATGTAGGGTTTTTCGAAAAAGAAAAAAAATCGTTTTGGCGTCATTGTAGGTGAAATTTATGCAATTTTTGAACTATGATTTTCTCAAAAATGGATCTAAAGTTTTTCTTAAAATCTTCTCTCATATCGAAAAGAACCGTGAAAAAATATTCTAGTCTCATTTTCGGCATATTCCTGTATTTTCAAAAATTCCTAAAAGTTAACATTGCAAAAGAACGTTTTCACGACAGAGATAATTTCTTAGAGAAAATCTGTTCTAAAAAATCAGATCTTTAAACAAAGGTCTTGTACAATGTTTTGAGAAAAGGTCTTTTTCCTTAATTTCTGCTTAAAATTAATGCAAATTATAAAAAAAAAATTTGAAAACAGCTTCATATTTTTTCTGTACATTTTTACAAAGAAGTTGCTTAAAAGAATGGCGTAGGTTTCACTTTTGTTAAACTGTCTGAATTCTCAAAACTTGCAAAAGAAATAATGCGAGGAAGTATGTGCTTTGTAGCACCACTAGTTTTCAAAAATGACTGCAAATTTTGTGTCCCTAAGAAACGTTTGTCCTGATGTGCGTAAAGAATGCTTAAAAGAACGGTACATTTCTCACTTTCGTTGAAGTTAATTTTTTACCTATCATATATAATTATGTATCAAAGAACGGTATAAAAACTGGTATCTGATCCCATGTTCGATAAATGGAAAAAATTAACATTGAGAAACTACAAATGTGAAAATGCATATTTGTCTTAAACAAAAACTGTTCTAAAAATCAATATTTAAAGAGTGGTATTTGCTCTCCTTCTGCTTGGAATTTAAGCAAATTAGTATATAAAATGCATTTGCTCTAAAACCGCTCCCATTTTTTTCTTCAAACTCACCAAAACATTTCCACAAACTTTTCCACGGGACACTTAAAAGAATAGCGCAAGTCTAATTTTCATTGAACTCTCTGAATGTTTGAAAATTGCAAATTTAGAAAGTGCGAGAAAGAATATGCCGTAGTAGCTCCAGTACTTTTCATCTAATGCAATACATCGAAACATTTTCAATATCAGTGAGCTGACTTGTTGAAAGGAATTTTTCCATATTTAGACGAAAACGAAATATCGTTGCCGTCGCTTCAGTATCAACAGCGTGTAACCGCTCTGACAGTTCTCTCGCCACGTGCTGTGGTACATATGCTCTGAACCAATCAGCTTGCGAGGATTTGTTTACTTTTCTTACAGCCAAGGTTCAGCGTTGCCATTCTCATCTGGCTCCCACAAAGTCTCTGAAGCTATAAGATTCGGGTTTGGCGAAAGTTATTAACATGATATCAAAACGTGTCGTAGCCTGTCAGTAAGTCTTTTGAGATTTAATTTATGTAGGTGGTGTCATGTGCGTAGTAATATGTAGCAACAGCGCATTGAACTATCAGAGTCGCTTATGCGCTGCCGGTACATTAGGGCTATTTTATGGGCACCCTGAGCGGCGTGCTCACCTGCAGCAGAGTTTGCCTGCCGTCGTGGACGTACAGGAGCGCAGGGTTAGCCCCCACCTCGCCTGGCAGGCGCTCCACGAACTCAGCCTCCTTGCCGCGGTACAGCAGGAAAAAGAGGTCGCGCTTGAATTCCCCCTGTAGAGTCAAAGGAAAGGGCATCAATGCGCGAGTTCTGGGTCAATGACCCCCATCTCGAACAGGTTTGCGTCCAGTTTCCCAGATCCTCGAACAAATGCTGAGATGGCCCCTTATTTTGCTTCTGAACATAAATGTAACTTCTTCCCATAGCACGTCCCATACAATTTTTAATTGTTATTGACGTAAATAAATAAATAAATAAGTAAATTAGTAAATTAATTAATTTCACCCTAACGAATAAGCAATGTTGCTTTTCGGCTGTTTACGTCCGGTTACACCACAGTAGTCCAAGTATATCGCTTTAACTGATAAAAAATCACAATTAGCTTTCAACACGCAATTAATCATGGTTACGTGTGAACCTATTTTTCCGCAAAACTCGATTACATGAACAGTATTCATGCTTACAAAAAGGGGTTTTGTAGGGCTAAAATTTTCCATCGTTTATTCCTTGCAACCACAGAAATAAATAATATTCCATGCAAGAACGTTAGAATTGTTATATTAACATAATTGCTCCTTTCAGCTGATGAGTCCAAGGCATAGTAATGTAGTCATCACATAAATTATATTTGTCAAATGATTTCTAAAATTTTCAAAATTATGGAAAATTGTAGCATTTGCAATTATAAATATTATATAAATTATTCAATATTTATATTTAAAACGAAAGTAATATTTTAAGTGAAATAATTTTGTTACTTGTATTTTTCATAAACTATCATGTACCTCTCCTTAAACGGCCGTTGTCAGGCGTTTAACTGATCGAAATGTTAACTTAAAAGGAATTTTTCGCTAAACGTGTTTAAATAACCAAGATCAGTATTAAAATCGGACGCGACTAAATTATCAGTTTTCAAGCTACTATCGATGCTACTACTTTTACTCAGTGTATTGCAGAACGGAACTTAATGTATTCAATTAATAATTGATTTTATTATATATTTCTGTAATGTAAAAGTGCAGCGTTTACAAATATAAAATATCTAAATCTACTCTTATTTATATGTTTTTATAGTAATGTAAATTTTAATTTCTAAGAAGAAAAGTACATGTTATGTATAGAAAACATTAAATCAATCTGGCATTGTATGATAAAGTACATTTTACTTAGCAAACTAATGTTTAAGAAAAAAGGTCTGTTTTGTCTTTTCCGTCACAGAGTAGCATAACTTCTAACGCCTTCAACATTTTTATTAAAATAATTGTTATGGATAAACCCAGGACTTATTTCATATTCACTTCACATCAGGATTTATTGAAGGCCATCCTTGTCCAACAAAATGCATTCCAACATTCGTTCATGATAAAATGAGATCGCATCTATTGAAAAGAGAATAAGAATGTAGGAGCGGTTACATCTCCTGACCATTCTGGACCATTTAACTTCCCTCGAGGCATTGCGTTTAAAGAACGTGGTGAAACTGAAGATCATCGTGATTCTACAATGGTCAAGAACATTTTAGTGATGAATTAGACGACAAGCGACATTTAACACATATTCGAAAGTGGTGAAACAGGCAACGTCAATCGTTTCTGCCAAAAAAGACGCGGCAATATTGAAATATAGGTATTTCATACACAGATGCTGTCTTTTCCTGATGGCGAAGATTGTTATGAACTCCGACTGCGTTCACTCAGTCCGTGGGTATTCCATCGAATATTTAATCGTCTTAATGCTTGTCTTCTTCCTTTGGCATAATAGCTTTATTCAAGTTTCGGGCTCACTCGTACTAGAGTTCTAGATCATGAGGACGGCGTTATCCCAGATGGAGGATCAAGCAATTGCCTTATCCAGGCGAGTGATTGGAGAGAAGATGAGGAATAAAAGAATTTGCATTTCGTTGCCCGTTTATGGTACTAATAGATTTCCGACAGTAATTGATCAGGAGAGACTACGGTAATAACCGATTAAAACATTCAGGGAATACGATGTAGATTTTGTATTGGAATCAAGAGCAGCTAAACAAACTGCAAGTGGAAAAACATGTAAACAAATTAAATAAAAGCTATTTTTATTTAAGTAGTTTCTAGTAATAATTTATTATTACTTAATTTATGCATTTCTTTCAAATCGTTTATTTTAATTTAGTTTAAAGAATTTGAAAATTAAATATTCAAACAATATTTTAATAAAATATTCTATTAATACTATTTATTTTACTTCAATCGGTATGAATGAAATCTCAAAATGAACGTTTAAAACATCTTAAAAAAACGTTGTGAGTAGCATAAAAATAAATACATAATTAACACGTAATTTTGAATCATATTTGCAATTTGCAATTTTTTTATTCTTTACATTTTCAAGGAGGCGAAAGGTTCTCATCTGCAGGCGCTCCTGCGAAACTCTTGTTACACTCGAGATTCGACTCGTGAAACTAAACAACGTACATTCGAACGAAGATTCAAGCGACCTCACTACAATCCGATTCAAACAAAAGGCGACGACATTTGATTAGCTAGGACTACGAACCAGAGATTCTATAACTTAATTTTTGAAATTGAAGCTCCTGTTTAGATAACCGCGTCTTCTGTTCAATCCTGAATTCCATTTCTACTTTAATCGAAGAATAAGAGTGTGAAACGCAGCCCAGTGCAGGATACACTAGTGAAAATGATTGCAGTACCTCGGAAGGCAGCGGATACTGGAACTCTGGCCACTCGGGAGGCTGAAGGTATCGGCGCGCCGTGTGCCTGACTTCGCCCTTGAGTATGTCATCGCAGTCGATGTTGCAGCCGTGCCCTAGCAGCAGCACAACCAGCGACTCCTTCTTTCCCTTGGCGGCCACAAAGACGGGCGTCTGCCCGGACTGGTTGCGGTGGTTTACGTCCAGAGGGAGCCGCCGGTCCCTACACAGCCCCAACACCTCCTCCACACAGATATTCACGCGCTCGTCGGTCGCCGGCTGGCGGCAGAGCACGTGCAGCACGTTGTCCCCGTGCAGGGTGAGAGCGTTGGGGTCGGAACGTAGCAGGAGCAGGCGTATGGCCGCTAGGTTGAGGCTCTCGGCGGCCATATGCAGCGCCCTGCACCTCTTTCTCGTGTTCAACTCTTCGGCTCTCGCGCCACTGTCCAGTAACTTCTGCACCATCTGCCCTCCGCTGTCCACGCAACACGCGTACTCTAGCAGCGTCATGTTCTGGTTGGAAGGGTACCTCTGATTGAAGTCATTTACAGAACCCAGCGCTGCAACGAAGCCTGCGTAGTTGCCGTCCGCCATCAGCTTCAAGATGTGGCTAGAATCAGCTTCTGACATTTTGGATTCTCTTTACGTCAATTACACCTTAAATGAGTTTTACTTCATCCGTCGGACACTTGATACGCAATAAAAGTTCGTATTTGTAAATTTAAACGTGTTATAGAAAATGTGCTTCGGATGATTCTTTTCGACTGGAAACTTCGCTGCGTGGAAGGGACGTTGTACACTCACTTGCCTCACTTGAAACCAGGAAAGCGATATGTCGTGTGACGTCTTTTCCCGGATGCACTGCCTGAGCAAACCACGAATTCAGATGGATATAATCGGGGCCGCTGTGGCAAGGGTCTGCAAACTAGTAGGCGAGGACGTAAAGGACATTTACAAACTTTTAAGAAAGTGCTCCAATTTTGGTTACCGAAAATTACGATTAGCAAGATTGATATTTAATAGTTTTTTTTTCTAATAACTCATATACTATACCAATCATGTGAAATATACGCGTTTATTATTGGTTTAAAAATGTACGACTTATATAACTACATATTAATAAGTTCTCATAGTACATTACACAATTAAAATTGGAGTATGTGATTTCAAAATAACTTTGACTTTTTCAAAATAACATTATAGAATCTCAAATTCTTGTTTAGATGACACTAATTCCATTACTTTTTCAGTTTTTTGCTGTCCGTCTCCGTCATTTAGCTTTTTGGTTTTTCGCCACTCTTCCCATCTGTTACCTATCGACGCCTGAAGACATTTTTTCACATTTTCTCAATTTTCCAATCCACTTACACCAGAATTGACATATGTCTTTAAGAATATTATAGAAGACTAAAACCTGGACATATTTTCAAATTTCTGTTGAAGAAATTGAAGCTGTTTTTGAAAAAATGTCATATGACCTTTTCTAAAAATTTTGAACTTATTTTCATAGAAAAGAGATTTCGAGAAACTTAAGAAGAATTTTTTTTTACCTCTTAGTACTCGCTTCTTCAGTAATAACGAGTCAACGTGAGAGATAGTTCAATTTTATTTTTAAAAGTTATTTATTGAAACAGGAATGTACATCATCAGCATAAGTCGCACAGTAAATGTATACAGTTGCACAATATTGCACTCTACCACTATTATGATTACCTTCCATCTCATGCTCGCGTTCATGAGCTTTTACTTTTACGAGAATATTTGTACATATTAATACGTGTTTTTGTGAATGTGACTTTATTGTTTAGCTATAGTGTTTTAAGATATCAGTTTATAATTGACCACGCCCTTTAGATTCACTATTGCTTGATGTAATTGTTTTAGCGTTATTTTATTGTTAACGTTATCCAAATATCAGTATTATTTATTTAAATTGGTTCTAATTTTTAGGTGATATAGACTACCGCTTACTCACAAGTAAACGCTTGTCTGCAATGCGACCGGTGGCATGTCTACCTGTTTAATGTAAATACGAATGTATTAAGAATGTATAAGTACCATGTTTTAGAATTAAACTTGTAATGTTTGGTTTTACATTATGTCGACTTTTCATTATACAATTTCAGTGTCTGAAGATGGAGAGAAACCGAAACTTTACGACATGTAGTAATGCCCATTTTTCGTTTGGGCCTTGGCCCGGCTTACAATTGTCACGCGACGAACCCACGTGCTCCAGCAACTCCATGTGGAGTTTTGAAATGAGACATTACCTGTATGATTATTTGTAAGCCCTGATAAAGAAATTATATATTTCAAAACACTGGCGATTGTAATTCGTCATGTAACAAGTTTGAAAGAAAAATGTGATGGTCATTTAAAAAACTCATTGAA